ACATGAATAGTATTATCATAGAGAAATCGGTAGGATAGTATGACATGTATTTACTGGAAAAAGTCACTTTTACAATTCTTGTAAATGTTTTCAATGTTTGCTGAGTAAGTGATTCGTTTTGTTCATCGAAAATTGATCACAATACACAGCTGTAATATACAAATAAAACACAACTGAATATAATAATAATAGATATTGTATCAAATTCAGGAAATGATATTATATGAAAGTACAATTACATTTTACTGAAAAAAAGCATTTACTATCTTTAAAAAAATCAATTCAAATCTCTGTGTGTGTGTGTGTGTGTGTGTGTGTTAAATGTCTATAAATATATTATTTTAAATGTAATAAATATTTCTGTGACGAAACGTCATGAAAAACTAATAGTAATGTTATTACATGACAAGTACCATGAAAGATGTAGTTACAATATATGTATAGAATTGTGATATCAGGTTGTTATAATAAAGATGATTTTTATTTACAGATGTATACATATATCAATATATAAATGTGTAAATAGTTCTCCACATAGGAAATATTGTCTATTTCTTCTCCTCTTGCGTGTTCATGAAGATTCTTTGTGCTGTTGAGACCTGTCCCCAAAAAAGCTGTCAATGGCGACTGCAAAGTTCTAAATACAGTTACTTTTGTCTATTTTGTCTCTGTTAATGTTTTCATGTCGTCCATCGTTAAATACAGATTGTTGATCGGTGTCTCAATCAGCATTGTTAATTGTGACATATATATATTCATTGTCGATTTCGTCTCTTTTTAAGGTTCTATGTCTTCCTGGGCAATCCACAAACTATATACATGTATGTATACAAACACACACACTGAAATACAAATATATGACTAACATTATTATATAATACCCCAAACAGACACATTTTCGACCACTGGGACGATACCTAAGCTGGTGGACGGGTTGTCCCGAAATTATCACCAACCCAGTAGCCAGTACTTGTGTACTGGCAAGCAAATGCAGGTATTGTGTTATAAAAGTTTGCTGTTGCAAAATTTTGGTTTATAAGCTCTTCATTATTCTAAGTTTTGAATTTTCAAATATTTTGGCCTCTAACATCACTGAAGAGGTATTTATTGTCTATCGAATTGTGAAGATGGTGCACTTATATAATGTCAATGTTCTCTTAGACTTTGTTTTCCTACGTTTTTTTTACTTAGATACATAAAAAACAAACACAGCAAATATTTTAAAGAAATCATTATAAAATGTATACAGTTATAACTATTGATTAATTTTTCACAGTTCACAGTATCCAACGTGGTAATGAATTTCATGGAACAGTTATATATCGTAACCAAATTCCATGTTGATGATCTGCTTACATGTATAAATAAAGTCACATAATCATATCAGAGAAGCTTCAGATATCATGAAAATCTCTGTATTCCTAACTGCAGCAATTCTTGTTTGCGTTGCAAGTCAAGGTAATATTTTGTTTTAGTTTATTATAATTATTTATATTTAAAGATGAAATGTGAAAAAGGGTTGTATTAATAATTTATTTATCATAAGATGATTCCCTATTCTATTTGCTTAAAAAAAAGTATAATGGAGAAAAAATAAAACTTTCTCAAATAGAATTTGTTTTTCAGTTCTTTTTAACCCTTTTAGAATAAACAATAATACTTAAACTTATAGGAAAAAATTGAGATAGCACTGAAGCTTTGTTTGTCATCTCCTTTTGCAATCTCAATTTTATCATAAATGTGTAAATAACGAAGTCAAATAATTAACACATCGCGGGCAATACATCTTATTCGTTCCACATGCTTTGTTAAATCAAGGTAAGAGTGTGTTCTTCATATTAGTAATTTGTTGTTTCCCGTTTTCAGACAAAAGAAAGTCTACATTTGGAAAATGCACTACTATAATAACCTAACATTAAATTTCTTAACATACATTTTTCAACAAATAGTGGATTGATTCTTCTTTAAATAATTTGAAACAATTCAAAGTAAGTTTTGAACAAAATGCAGGGGTATTTTTTATGTAGTTCTTAAAAAAATGACACCTGGACCAATCAGATCATGAACGTTATCAGAATATATGTAATATACTTTGTCATAAACATACTTGTAACATGCGTATGCCAATATGCTTGTCCATTTGTCAGGACAGGTCTAACAAGCAAGTCTTATTTTATCAGAATTTTAGAAATTGTTGTTCTGGGCCCAGTTCCATTTTGATTCGATTTTGAAGATTTATTTCCAAAGTTTAGATATCTAATCGTTATCATTTCAACAATTTAGAGAGTGTGTCATAACTTCAGCTTGCTTTGTTAGTTTTTAACAAGATTATAAATCAGAGTTGCACAGTGTTTTGTTTAATGCACAATTCATTATGAGTATGTGATAAGACATTACTAGTGAAAAGTTTACAAAAAATAAGCATGTCTGGCGATAGTTCATATATGTTATATGGATCTTAACGAAATGTTTGCATAAAATACTTTGTTTTACATGTTCCCTTTGATTTGTCAAACCCCTTAGGCAACGCCATATTAATACCTCGTTCGTCGGACTGTATTGAATTATTACTTTTGTTAAGTTAGTATATAGCATCAAGTGTGATGCATTTGAATACTAAGTAGTATAAATTTGGATGGTTTTCGAAGGACAGTTCTTTATAGATTTTCAGCTTGTTGTATACACAAATATGTATAGTTGTATATTAAAGCTTTATACATGCATATATGCGTTGCATACCTTTATTTAAGCAACATACCATTTTATATGTGCCTGTCCCAAACCTGGAGCCTGTAGTTCACTGGTTGTCGTTGGTTCATGTCTGTCATATCTGTTTTTCGTAAACTGTTTTATTATACATTAGGCCGTTGGTTTACTCAATTGAATTGTTTCACATTTTTCATGTCAGGGCCTTTTAAAGCCAACTATACGGGATGGGTTTTCTCATTGTTGAAGGCTGTACGGTTGCCTATAATTGCATACATCCACTTCATTTGAACTTTGAACCGACCGTGCAAGGGCTGTATAGCCAGTCAAGGTCGTTAAAAACTTCCATTTGTGGTTTTTGAACTTTGTTGGATAGTTGTCTCATTGCCAATCATACCATATTTCCTTATTTTTATAATACATCAATAATAACCTACACCAAACATGGATGTCTGCCTGTTCAAAGCTTTTGCACCTTTTCGTGTTCGGGCAGGATCTTTATTTGAGCAGACTACATGAGGTTGTAGGTTTTGCTACTTGGTAACCATATTTGTACTGGAAATATTGTGAAAAGATTCAACAGGGTGTCAGAGAACAATTTGAGAAGCAAAGTAAGGTAGTATAAGAACTAGGATATGAGATATATAAAAACATGCAGCACCAAATCTTTGTAAATTTCTGATCGCTCGCCTGCATAAAATGCTTTTCATAGATCTTATGTTTTAATATTTCAAAAATAATACCGCTCGCTAGTAAACATTTCTTTCGTTTGCCAAAAATCAAACTTTGAAAAAAAAACAAATAAAAAAGTTCGCTCTCTCGCTACCCTTTTTGAAAGACAATAGTCCGAAGAACTAGAAATTAATTTGGTGTGGCCTTAATCTTCTTTTTTTTTTCTCTCTTTCATTTTCGAGACTATCATATTTCTCGGTTCAATTTTCACTTTAAAATGAAATAAATAATAGTCAAGCAGAACAAAATCATATTGATATTTCTTTTGTGATTGTTAAAATTTTTTTTTCTGATGGCGATGTTTCGCTTCGACAATTTATGACGTTATTCACCAACATGTAGCTGTTTTCGCGTCTGTAACAAAAGCAGTTTTTCATCTTTTATCGTTTTAAACAGTCTTTCAGAAAAATTCGAATTGACTATTCTGTCTTGATTGTCACAATAGTCTTTTACCTAATTTTAACCTATATATTGACATCCTGCGGACATATCAATCCACGGCAGGGAAGAAAACAAATGTTATGTAGTGTTGCCGTTTTGTCAATCTGTTTGGAATGTACTTGCTCAGTGAAGACCTTTGAAAAAATCAAGAACGATACAAATTTTAAATAATGGAAAGTCTGAATTCCACAAAAACGAAACCTTTCTTCATTTACATAAGGATTTTCTTATCCCACGCATATAACCTTATCCGTATTTGGCACAACTTTTTGGAACTTTTAGTCCTCAATGCTCTTCAACTTTGTACTTGTTTTGGCTTTCGAACTTTTTTTTATCTGAGCGTCACTGATGGGTCTTATGTAGACGAAACGCGCGTCTGGCGTATTAAATTATAAGCCTGGTACCTTTTGATAGCTATTATTTGTGTGTGTCTCTGTCCTGTATGTTCTCCCATTTATTTGTATTGTAGTCTTTTCATGTAATCTTGTCATTTTAATGTTATATTCAACATTGCCATAAAAGCGGGAGGTTTGCCTAGCCACAAAACCAGGTTTAACCCACCATTTTTTTTCTTAAAAATGTCCTGTACCAAGTCAGGAAAATGGCAATTGTTATCGTATAGTTTGTTTCTGTGTGTGTTGCATTGTTGTTTGTTGTTTGTTCACTTCAGTGTATCTGTTGTTTCGTTGTCCAAATGTACTATATTGTATTGTTTATTTGCGTAATTCTCTGTCCGTAATGTTGTACTGTATTCATGTCATGTAATGGTGTATTTAACATTGCCATAAAAGTGCGAGGTTTGGCTAGCCACAAAACCAGGTTCAACCCACCATTTTTTCTTAAAATGTCCTGTACCAAGTCAGGAAAATGGCAATTGTTATATTATATTTCGTTTCTGTGTGTGTTGCATTTTAGTGTTGTGTTTCTGTTGTGTCGTTTTTCTCCTCTTATATTTGATGTGTTTCCCTCAGTGTTAGTTTGTAACCCGGATTTGTTTTTTTCTTAATCGATTTATGAATTTCGAATAGCGGTATACTACTGTTGCCTTTACATATCGGTTTGTGCAAAGCCTTTCTTTTTATTAAAAAAATATGGTTTCCGAATAAATCGCTGATTTAAACATGTATATGAAAGTTTTTGTAAACCATGACGAAACTACAGAATCAGAACAAGGCGTTTGTTGAAAGCATAACACGAGCTTCATTCCATCAATTTCAGTTATTCATTATTTCAATGTCAGCTTTTATCTAGCGAGTCAAAAATGGTATACAAATTTCATGAAATTATTCAAAAACAAAACACTCGAATAAATGCACATTGGGTGGACAGACAGCAGTATACAATATTGTACATGCCATGTCTGTGTGTATATTAATTTCCATAAACCACCGAAAATTTTCCAAATAGTAATAGAGCTTACTTTCACCAATCCAAGCAACAGTGTATAGTTTACGGTAAATTGATCCCTGCTTACTGGAGCTATTTCGCAACCTATACAAAAATGCTTTAAGGTTATTGGTATGTCCAATACTTATCGAATTACAAATCAGCCATGCATTAAATCGTTTTCAGTTGCACAGGTTTGTTTGTTGAATGTCAAAAAATACCTAACAGCTACGTGAGCCTATTCCCCACGACTCAACACATCGTATTTCTGCAGTACAGAATAGGATAAACTCTTTGATGTTCCGTGACTCAAATGAAGGGTGAGTGCTTCTTTATGGGTCTGAAGCGAGCTAGTCAGTTCTTCTGTTAGGTTGTGATGTCTACTATACGCAACCACTGATGGTTTTGGAATGTTGAATGTCAGAAAGTACCTAACAGCCACGTACGCCTATTCCAGGCCACCCTCGCAGATTTAAAATGATTTAAAAAGAAAGTTAAAATTTAAGAAAACTCGATCGACTTTCAAGAAAAAAAAGACAAAAAAGAAGCACAGGTATATAAAGCTAAACAGTATCTATATGTTCCGGACCATATGAGTATTTAGACCATATGCGTACATACTCAGATGGTCCAACCATACGCATATGGTCCGGGTAATTAATACGAGGAGCGTTGAACAGTAATTGCGTAAGGCATAACCCCTCAAAGTGTCATAGATTAAAAGTTTCGAAAAATGTTGACTTAGATAATAATTTGGTAATCATTGTAACGTGATTAATGAAATAAAATGATTTTAACACACAAGTTAAAATCACAGTAGTAGCATTTTTGCATGGTTATTATTAATGTGTCTTTACGAAACACGTTAAGCAAGAAGTCAACTGTTTAACACTTGCAATTGGAGCGTTGAACCTTATTTTGCTGCAGTTTATACGTGCTGCCCTTCTATTCTTAGAAACCGCTGTAATTGTAAGATCATATAAATAAGAGTATGAACACCTCAGTTAGGCGAAAATAAGTGAAAATTGAAAGAAACTAAAGAAAATCTAATCTAAACGCTTGGGAAAAGAAAATGTTTATGCCCCAAACCTGTGGTTTCACGTACGGACGAAACTGTCGACAGCATAAAGGTGCTTAAAATAGATAGCAACGGCAAGACAACAAATATACCAAAATTCAGACAATATGTAACAAAGATAAAGGATTTCAGTTAATAACTTGTGCCGAATTTTGTTCAGAGAACAAGCTTTGTCTGTTGAGGAATTCTGAATTTATTCGAAAAATACCTATATGGTCTAAATACTCATATGTTCGTGCCCGTTAATAACCAAACGAGTATATACTCATATGGTCCGACAATACGCGTACGATCCATGTACTCACATTGTTTTGAGCATATATAACTTAGCAAACTGTCAATTGACAAACGAACAAAACATAGTTTTGGGTAAGGGTTTGAAATTTATACCTATGCCAAAGAAATATGATATAGGCAGATTTGTAATGACAGATTTCAATGAATTTGCCAGAAAGTTAGATGTCGTTATCATTTTGGCAATACAGAAAGGCAAAAAATCCATCAGTTCCGACAAAAAAAAAAAACATTTTATGAGCCAACACCTGCTTGCTTTTAACTTGAAAATTATTTAGATCTCACAAAATTTGAATCATCTAATCTAGATTTAAAAAATAACTTCTAGCAACAGCTAGAACTATGAGCTTTGAGAAACATGCATGATATTGTTTTCTCTGAAAGCGATAAAGGAGGTGCAATGGATATATCCAAAAGACACATTACATTAATGAAGGGTTAAGACAGTCAAACTCTATCCATAACACAGAGATAAAAGAACCTAATCAGTTATTGATTAAAAATAATCTACAAACACAACTCAACAGAATGTTTGACAATGATGAGATTGATTGGATAACTCTTGAGTTTCTCAGTGGCTCACAGAAAGAGAAACCCAGATTGGGTAGTCTCTTTCTTATTCCTAAACTTAACAAATTAAGTGACAACGTTATTCAAGGGATAAAAAACCAAGCAATGGCAGTAAATGAATGAATTGCCCCCATGCATACCAATTATTTCTCAATGCAACTCTGTCACCGAAAGGGTTAGTAAATTTCTCTGCAAAATATGTAATTGTTTGAAAATTGAGTTGATATAAAACCATACAAAACAGACCCAAATTCATCTTTTATTTCGTATTTAAATGTTCCGAAATCAATAAAATTCTTCTATATGTACATGTATATGTGAACTTGCATAAGGTCGATTTCTATCCGACGCAGCTCATATGTTGTATCTCATTTATGAATGAAATGTTGACATTCATTTCAGGTGAAATTCACTTAATATACAAAACTTTATATTATTTCATTTTATATCTACTTGTTAATGAATTTTATCTGATGATTTAGGTTAAAGTGTTTTGCTTAAGTGTAACGATTTCATGTTTCAATTTTTTAAGTTTTCAACTATTAAAGCAACTTCCTCGCCACTTAACATAAATTGTAAACATGATTACACTCCATCATCTTTATTCATATTAAATTATTTCAATGTACATACATGTATATCAATAAGATGAATTGTACTGTCAACAGAAATGTATTTTGTGTTGTTATTTAAATTCTGATTGAAGAAATTCATAACAGATTCTTTCCTTATTATTGTTTATCATACTAGGTGGTTCTCATATGATTGGAATTTTGTTAATGTGCATCATATTGCCTATCGTTGTTACATCATACCAGTAGGTTCCTGTGTGTGGTGTTTGTAGATTTTTGTTACGTCATATCATATATGCATATGCGTGGTTGTGTTGTTTTTGTAGTTTTTATGGTACTTTGTGGAAATTTGACTGCTCCTTTTTCTTTACTTACAGCATACAATGTGATAATTGATTTCATGGAAATTCCATGTCGATAATTTGCCCGTACGTATATATTAAGCCACATAATCACGCTCAAGATGATGTAGGCATCATGAAAATCTCTGCAATCCATACTGCAGCAATTCTTGTTTGTGTTACATATCAATGTAAAATAAAATGTTTAGCTTTTACAGTTTTGTTTTTCCAATATTTTAAATGAATTAATATTCTTTAATATATAAGAAAAGTTGGAGATAGCAGTAATTTCGTAGTGACGTTTTGTTTGTCAAATCTATTTTGAAATCCCTGAATGTGAAAATTACGAAGTCAAATAATTGGTCAGATCCCGAACAATACGCCATATTCCTTTCGATTGCTTTGTTTAGTGCAGGTTAAGAGTACGAATAGCATTTGTTTCCTTTTACCTCAAAGGAAAATAGGTGTTTGTAAAATCAACTACTGTTACAACCTGACATCACATTTCAACAGATCTTTTTTTTTATTTTTAAGTAAATTGATTCCTCTTTAAATCTTTGAAATAAATCATGGTTAGTTTTGAACGAAGAAAATTTTTCAAAATGTGCTCATGAGTTTTTGTCTTTATTTACCGAAATGTAGATAGTTCATTTTCACTTTGTTTTAAATTTTTTTAAATAGTTTTAAAAGATAATTCATTTTTATTTTTTTCCCGATGGTGACTTTATTCGCCCAAATATAACGTTTTTGTCTTGGTAGTCATAGCAGCTCTTTACTTAATTTATACTCATATATTGTGACAATCTATTGACATATCATTCCATGCTAACAACAGAAACGCATTTTATCTAGTGTTGCCCTTTCTGTTTGTCGGGTAAGACTTGCTCCATTAAAGCATAGGAATTAGGTCAAGGACGAAACAATATGTTATATTATGGAAAGTCTGAGCACCACTGCTACAACAACTTTATTGACATATTTGTTCGTGCAAAACTTTTTTCTTTTTAGAAATATTATTTTCAAATAAATCGCTGATTTAACAATTTCCTTAATTGAAAGTAGACCAATAATGATTAAAAAAACGCAAAGAATAGACTTTAAATTCCCTTATCTTTCGGTTAATTTCTGGGTTTTTTTTCTGTTTAAATACAACTGTTCAATTGGGCGCATGCAGTTGCATGCATGCATTTTTACCGTTTGTTTGGATCGATAATTTGCTTTGAATACTTCCCCTTTTTATTCAAATATTGTAATTTGATTGTTTGTATTTAGTAAAGACGAGCTCTTAATTGTTACCGTTGTATTGCATCATAAATCATGCATGGCTATATGAATCGTTTTTACTATTAAGAATGTATGTGTCAAAAAAATAACGGTTACCTATGCAAATAAAAAGTGATTTTGAAGATATTTAGAATGAACATAATAAATAAGATTAGATTAATTCAGTTTAGTTACTGTTGATATACAGCACATCTGTCCAGTATCGGCTACATGGACATCATGTCTATAAAATATAGTCACATTTAAGAAGAGTAGGTCAATTTATATGACGCCTAGTCTTTGAAAAACATATATTTCAGCACAGTTAACGGAAGTTATTTCAGCAATAACATGGAATGAAAAGGCGTGTACCATGAAGAATATTCCAGATATCAGGATTATAATTATCCTTATTATGATCATCATTATTATCAATTTCTGATGTTGTTGTTATTAGTTTCAGCATGGTGGGGAGGGAGTAGTAGTAGCAGTTCGTCAAGGACTAGCAGCGGTAGTGGTTCTAGTCGATCAGGTAGGATATTCACTTTCAGAAATGTTATTTGCCATAGTTTATGAACATTGTATTACTGTAAAGTTGAAAAAAATCGTAATGGGATTTATTTCGCTCATTTCGCGATTGAGATAAAATTTGTTGAACTGCTCTTTTCATCCAAGAACATGGGAATAAGCCTTTTTTGCAAAGTTTTAGGTGGCGTATTTCAGAAGAAAAAGAGGGATTATCCAACCCAAAACCATCATCTTCCCTAATTTGATAACGATCTTGAATGGATGGTTCAATGTGAGGTTGCTGTATGATCTGTGTTATTGTCGATTATTAGATTCAAACCATGTCAACCGTTTTTCAGATGTTATCGAAATTACTCTAGTATCAAGTTATTTAAGTATAAGCAATCGAAATAACGAAATAAAGTTCTTTTTCTTTAGTGGATATCTACGAGTGGTTTCAGAGTATATATTTAGATGTCGAGCATTATGATAGTTGAAATATTTACCTATGTTGTCCTGTGAACGTTAAATTATTATTTTCAACGTTTAATTCCAACTATGAAAATAAGCAGATATGGTATAATTGCCACGAGACAACTCTCCACCAGAGACCGAATGACGTAGAAGTTTACAATAGTTCACCGTACGGCGTTCAACGATGAGCGAAACCCATACTACATAGTAAGCTATAAAAGGCCCCGAAATGACAAATGTAAAACAATTCAAACGAGAAAACTAACGGCCTGATTTATGTTAGTTTTGTCATTTCTAACAAGTGTATTTGCCAAAATTCATTATAAGATAGCCTCATGTTTGTAATTGCAGGTTCTAATGATTTTATTGTAAAGCAAGTGAAACGAGAAAACTAATGGCCTGATTTATGTACAAAACAATAAACGAATAACAAATATGATATACAGCAGCAAACCTCAACCACTGAGTTATAAGCTCCTGACTTGAGACAGGCAGATACAGAATGTGGCGAGGTTAAACATGTGTGTTTTTTAGGTACTTCTCCAAATTCTGTATAATTTAATGCATGTCATTGACTTTGAAAAACTTAAAACTAGTTTTCTATTTAAAGTTTTAATTAATTTTTAATCTTTAATTTAAATTAATGTAATAAAAAGATGTAATGTGATTTTTAATATGTTTTTTCTCTATTTTCATTGCAGGATGGGGTTGGGGGTAGTAGAAATTCAAATAGAAGTAAGAATATTGTACATTATTATATTTTATACATTAAAATAAGATGATGTGGTATCATTGCCAATCAGACATCTCTCCACCTGAGACCAAATGACATAGAAGTTTACAACTATAGGTCACCGTATGGCCTTCAACAATAATGAGTAAAACCCATACCGCATATTCAGCTATAAAAAGCCCCGAAACGACAAATGAAAAACAATTCAAATGAGAAAACTAACAGCCTGATTTGTGTCTGTTTTTAACATTTCTAACAAGTGTATTCGTCAAAATTCATGATAAGACAGCCTCACGTTTGCAATTGAAGGTTATAATATTATCAATGTGCATTACTGAACATGTGACCAACGTTGAAAAGCATACAGTTGAATTAAAATTACAATTTTGGTATATTGAGTAAAATTGTTAGTAATTGTAAAAATGAATAAAAAGAACATTAGCTACAAACGTTAACTCTATTGGAAGTAAAGTTGTGTTTTGATTTATAAAGAAACAAATTAATGAACATTGGTTAAGAATATCAATCGATTGAACTTTTTAAAACATTGGTATGATTTTGAATATTGTATCAAAACTATCTTCATCAGCAATATATAGCTCTAGAAAAGATTTTGCTTTTATGATTTTGTTGAATGTGTATTTTAATCAGACTCATTAATATTGAAATGCTAGGAAGTTTAAAGTAACTGATTTTGAAACAGTATAATGTATAATGTAATAGAAAAAATGTGTTGTCACTACATTCAGCTACAAAATCAGACTGTAATTAACAAAAATGTTCCCCTAAAGCAGTCGGCTGTTTAATAATTTAATACAGCATTTTTTTTAAGGAAAATATGCAAGAACTATTTGACAATTTGTGTTGAATTATTTTCAAAATCAAAAGCTTTCCTTAAACTTTTGAAAAGACGTTAGCAATTTTTAATATTCATTTCTTTCTAAACACAATCACCAGTCATTTGTTGACATATATTGAGGTGGGAGGGGCGGGGGGTGGGGGGGGGGGGGTGGGGGGGTATGGATTTTATTTGTATTATTTTGAATATGATGGTATATTTAGTGAACTCCAAAGTATTATTAAGCTAATATCATATACTGTAGATTTACATCAAAGACTTGTAAATCCTTTATATTTCTTAATCGAATAATAAAAATGTCATATATTTCATTCACTTATCATACTTATGACTTGTAACAATGTATATATATGTGTTCCGGCGCATATGAGTATTTGGACCATACGCGTATGGTCCGGGTAATTATTACGACGAGCGTTGAACAGTAATTGCGTAAGCCATAACCATTCAAGGTGTCATAGATAACGTGATTAATGAAATAAAATGATTTTTACACACAAGTTAAAATTATAGTAGAAGCATTTTTGCATGGTCATTATTAATTTGTCTTTACGAAACACGTTAAGCAAGAATTCAACTGTTTTACACATTAGCAATTGGAGCATTGAACCTTTTTTTTGCTGTTTTAATTTGCAAATTAAGATTTCTTAAACATTTCAAATTATTTTAATCAGATTTGTTCATGCACCTCTGTATACGATTTACCTTTACAGTAGTTTATATTCGGGTATGGTCGGACCATATGAGTATACCCATATGGTCATGACCATACGCGTACGGTCCAAATACTCATATGGTCTGGAACATATGCACTGTAGTTTGAACACCCAAACGATCGATAGAAAATAAATGATTTTTATTAAATTTTAATATTTTGTACTTTTGAAGGAGTATCAATATCAAGACCTGCACCTAGGCCTAAACCTGCACCAAAACCTGCGCCTAAACCAAAGCCTTCGGGTGGTAAGTAATTGAATAAACATTTTTAAATATATGGACAAAAATACTCTCCCTTTTTCATGCATAGTTTCTTTTCCTTCATCGGGTTTGGATCTATAATTTTTTCTGATGTAGCTTCGTTATGTTTGTGTCTTATTTTGGATTAACAAGATTCAAAGATCAGATATAGTTAATCAATTATATTGATGTTTTAAGATTGAATGCTGGTTAAAACAAAACGAAGACTGTTGCCATATACACGATCTCCAAAAGGTTAGCCTAGTAAAAACTTGCGTAAAATTATTTTCATCTAGTATACTAGATGGTCAGAACATTTTATCAGGTATTTTTCATTTGTTTCCCCTTGAATGCAAATTGTACATTCTCTTTTAATGTATGATTAATTCACCATTCGTTTTAGTTTCTATCTATATGTGTTGCTTTTCTGAAAATTAGAATATAATATATAAATATAAGCAGATATTGAAAAGGATGTGTCCAGTTGGTTGGTTTTGGTAGTATGTTATCGCTTAATAAGTAGCATGGAGGAGGCGTTTTCCCAATTGATTATTTCACAACTTTGAAAGACAGGCGAAAGATACCAAAGCGACATCATAAGTCGAAAATAAACTGACCATGTCATGATAAAAGAAGAGAAAGACCAAATGCAAAACAACAGCATACAAAACACAACATTAAAAACTAAAGGCTGAGCAACACGAACCTCACCAAAAACTGGTGGTGATCTCAGATAACCAGGAAAAGGTACGGAGTTTTTCGCAGTATCGTAAATTACGTCAACATGACGCAATAATTGTTGATTGGGTCTTGACTACCCATACTGTAGTTTTATTTCTTAACTTCCGTATATTATATCTTTGCCTGTCCGGGACATGTTCCAAGTTCTATATCACATTTAACCCTAGCAACATCTTCATTAACCACAACCGAAGTTTTAATATCAAAATGGCGTGAATATCGAATGCAACTTATAGCTTCGCACCGTGATTCAAAGCAATCAAAAACTTCATAAAGATACACGAATAAATCTTACCTTTGACCTTCCGTGTTTTTTGTATAAATCCAAATAGATAAAGATCATTTAATATGAAACATTATTAATTTATTGTTGAATTTCTCATTTAACACCGCCTAGCAAAATTGAAAATAGTAAGATTTAAAGATGGCAAACAATCTTGAATAAAACAATATTAATATTATTCATATTCTGCAGGATGGTGGAGGTCGAGGACATCAGTTAGCAGTAAGTACATATAATTATTTATATAATAGAGTGTTCAAAGTGGCTTCTGCGCTGTTATCGCAATTAAAGTGTAAATGAACCATAAGACAAACTCTCTTTACTTAGTCATCTGGAAACCATGCTGTGTAGTTTTACTAACTAGAACTAATCATACATTCAGAGTTCAGATTGATTGCATACGTGTTTAAGATACTTTATTATCAAATATATATGCTATATATGAATGTAATTCTAAAGTAGATAAACAGAAGGTGTCATGTTCAGTAACCTTTTAGCATTCTCTTAAATATTTTCCTACACAAAGTTCAGTATGTATCTACTACAAACTATTAAATTGTGTAGGGCAGGAATCACTCAGGAATTTCTATGCATCGACCTGATTGTAAACATTTCTCAACTTAGCAAAATAGACTAAAGTATTATCGAATAATGCCTTTCTTATATTATAAATCGTAAGTTGATAAAACATTTAATCATATCACGCGACATTTTTATCCAATTACTTGTATTAATGGTTTTCGAAAAAAAAATTGTAATCAAAGTGCTGGCGTACCACCAAAAGTGATTGGCTGACTAAATGTTTGCATAAAAGTTCATCTGAACATGACCTTTCATTGGTCGGTTTCAGACCTTACACGAGCAACAAACAAATCTAACGGAGCAAAGTGATTTAAATCATATTAGTGTTCTTCAATAAAACATTGATATATTCGTTTAAATTACTTCCATTTCGCTATTTATACAGCCAGAAAGTAGCAGACATTTCGATGAAATGGCAGATAACACCAAATCTTGTAACAATTTGATGCAGAATTTTTTTTATAGAGAGTCCACACTCGACTTAACTGCCACCTCATTGGGAAACAATTATTTTGGATGAACCTTATTGTCTATTGTTTAATTTAGCAAAAATATTCTTGTAAACACGGGCGCAAGCTCTGCAGTGCGACAAAATTAAATCTGCATTTTGCATATGACCTTCATGGCATTCCTGTAAAAACAGTTACTTACAAATTATACAAAGGTCAAGCTTATTTCGTTACTTTCTGAAGAATAGAAAACAACATAAATAATGATGCATTTTTAATTTTGAGGTAAACATATGGCCGTATGCTAAGAAAAATATGATCTCCTTCGTTAAAAACTAATGTGTACAATATACTCATCAAGAATTATCATTCAATGAGTGAAATAGCATAGTACATAGTGATATTAAATACTGCGATTCATCATTTTACGAGTAAGACGACGGATGCCATTAGTGGAGCAGGAACTACCTTAGTATGTACCATGGAGTTATTTGTACCGATTGTAGCATTTATTTTTATTTTTTTGGTATAAAACACATACTTTATGGGAATATTTATTTCTCACCTTCCAAAACTTTGGTACAAATAGAGTGTTCCTGATTTGAACTCCAAATGTATGTAAAGCAATTGAAGTTACTCAAGTTGTTTCATGGTCTTTCGAACACATTTCACTATACCTCCGCAAAAATTTTGCTATGATTTTCTCCGCTGTTCTATAGACATGGCATTATCATTTGATAATTAGAATTACAATTATATAGTACATAAGTGTTAATACGAATGCTAACAACAAAATTCATTACTTTACAACAACAAAAGAAACACACAACCTCCATTATGGAGAAAAAAAATTTAAAAGTGTTTGAAATGATTTTAATTTTGACACAACGTTTCAGAAAACATAAAAGATCTGTGAAATGAGAATTTTCATAACATTGCATAATTTTAATGTTTAAATTTAAAAAAAAAAACATTTCTAACAAACAAACAAAAACCAAAAAAGTTGACAGATTTGTGAAAACTAAAGTTACCAGTATCTTTCTACCTGAAAATAACGAAAAGGACTTTGATTTTAAGTTTCTTAATGGAATTCTTGTTAAATGAAAAATTTGAAATTGACTTATCTCAGACTTTGATTCTTAACTTTTGCAGTTGATATCTCCATTGTCGCCAGTAAAATTTCTGTGTCTTCTCTGCATTAATTTCAGGGTTATTTTTTAAATATACTTTAGATTTCTTTTATAGCAAAAACAATAAATAACTTAATATGATAAGTTATTGCGTTATTTGTGTTGTTAAGTACATATTTAATATTTTCTTATCGTTAGTTTACATCTGAAATTGAAATAAAGTTGTTTGTAGTTATACGTTATATCCTTTTGTAAGATATACTTGACAGTCACTGAGACAACACTACATAATCACATTTAAGGACTAAACTTGTCTTTTTGTAAAACTTAATAATGTTATTTCAATTAAATACGAACAATATCAAAACATTATACTAAAATGACTGTAAAAAACTCCGGGAGTCCTTGGCTATGCAATATTTATAGGTATTTTATATTGATTATGTCACCAACTCAAGCTGCGTAGTGTATGATAAGGTTGTGAAATAAAAATCAAATGTGTGATGATTTTGCTATTCTAATCTTTAGAATCTTAAATGTTTAATATTTTTCAAAGATGCAATTAAAACCACAATCATAAATGTATATGCTATTCAACAGATCTTTAACGCTATCTCCATGAAATAGCGTAATACATTTAAGGGTATATTTTTTGTCAAATATGTATAAAAGGCATAATTTTTGATTATTGAAAATATATAAAAAGGGTGGAGTACTGAATGTCACAACTGCTCACCCTTACCACAAATGGATTGAAACCCCCTTACAAAAAAAACGGTTGATCTTTAGAAAATTTAAATTTCATTTTCAGGGATTCCCGTGTCAAAGCCAAAACCAAAACCAAAACCAAAGCTTTTACCTAAACCGAAGCCATCAGGAGGTGAGTAGTTTTGTCAATGTACAGATCATTTACATAATTACATTGGTACTTTTCATAATATAAATCCTCCCACTATATATTCATAATTCAAATCTTATATCTAAACATTGAATAATAGTGTACATCATTGAATTAACAGATCTGCCTTTTTCAATGTGATGTTTTATCATCTGCTTGATTACTACCTTCTGCAGTTAAGTTATATTTACCAATGAATTCCCATATCATTTACAGCACTGTTTGTTGTGCTGTGCATGAGATGGATATATGTTCAAAAAATTTGTACGTTTTCGCAAATGGTCACGTGAGCTATTTTCATGATTTGGCATCAGTCGTCCGTCACTTTTACAAACGAATTCTCCTCTGAAACTGCTTGGTCAATCGAAAATAAACTTAGACACAATCATTATTAAGGGTAGATATTTTTTTTTTTAAATAAGTCCGATGATTCCGGTCTACAAACCAACATTGCCGATATGGCTTAAAATAGAAAATTGGGGTAAAATGCAAGGTATTTCTTTTATCTTGAAAATCACTATAGATAGAGAAAAATCGGATAAAGATAGAAATGTTCAAAATGTAGATCTACATACTGTATTTAATCAAAAACTGTCAGACAACTCATTATAGAAGTTATCGCCCTTAATGGCGATTTTCACTAATTTTGTGTATGTTTGCTTATTATCTTGAAAACTATAATAGATATAAAGAAACCTTATATTGAAAAAGTTACCAGCCAGACTGTTCAACAGACCAGTCAACATTGCTGAAATCGTGGGTCGACTTCTTTTAGGAATAATTGCCCTAAATAACGATTTTTACTAATTGTTTGCATTTTTGCTTACTATCTATTCCATTACCTATAAAAGATACGGACAGACATTAAGTAGAAAATATGTAAAGCAGGACAAGATTCTTAAATTTGTCAAATAGTCAATTTGTCGGGCGACTCCTTATAGGATCCCGGACCTGTTTGCTCCTAAATTACAATTTTTATAAATGTTTGCTTTTTTTTACCACAAATAGCATTAAAAAAATTACAATGCAAATATGACCAACAAAACAAGATCTACAAATTAGTTGACATCGCCAAAATTGTCAGTCGATTTGATATAGGAAGTATTGCCCTTAAACGACATTTTGTTATTTAATTTTTGCATATTATGGATATTGTGCAAAAACTTTCAATCGATAAAGATAGCAAAAATGATGAGCAAGACAATACAGTGTATATACAATTGTTATGACGAGTCCTGTTTGGCTTTGTAATGTGTTATTGCTAATTAAGTAACAGTGAGAAGGCGTTTTACCAAACATAATTATTTAATTAAACACATCATAAACAAAACGTATTGGAGTCCTTAACTTGAACCTTCCGTATTTTCATAAACATTCAAATACATTAATAGTAAATATTATGAAACATTCATCAATTTATCGTTAATTTTCTTAAACGTACACTGCCATGCAAAATTGTAGATGGAACGAATTAAAGAGAAAAAGTATCAAACATACAACATTACTAATATTATGTATATTCTGCAGGATGGTGGGGGTCAAGGAAATAAGTTAGCAGTGAGTACATATAACAATTCAAATAATTGAATATCCAAAGTGATTTCCGTGAGTTTGTCGCTATCAAATTGTAAATGAGCCATAATAATAAGTTGTTTGACACTTTAAGAAAAACTACTTTCAGTAAAACACATGGCATACAGAATAGAAGTAAGTAGATTTAAGAAATCTCAACATTATCTCTTTAAAATATTGTACGGATGCAAGCATGCCGTGTTTGAGCAATATTAATGAAATCTCCAAGATGAAAATAACGTTTAGTATAGTCAAATTGTTTTTTATTTACAAAAACAGCTTCCGCACTTCATAAAAAATGTGCTTCGTTCAAAGCTTTTATACACCAATAAAATTATAAAAAGAAGCATTCAATTATCAAATAAAAACTATTCATTGGCAAGCAAACACATCTTTACTTTTATTTTCTAGTGTAAAACAATAAATGCATACGCAAGAAAGCTCTTTAAAGCCGTACCAAAACATCCAAAACCATGTATGTGTCTGAGTAAAATGAACCGCAACAGATCTCAGTAATACTTAACATCTTTCAATTACATATTCATAACCAAAATTTATATCTGAATCTCGAACTCCAAAGTTTATGATTTGAATTTACAGATCTGTCTTTTTGAATGTGAAGTTTTAACATATCTTGGATTACTTCCTTCTGTAGTCAAGTTACATATGCCACTGGATTTTCAAATTATTAACAGCACTCGGTTTGTTGTTGTGTGTCTGAGATGGAGATCTTTTTTATTTTTTAGGGTTAAATCGTTTTTCATGAAATATTTACACTTTACTGCTTTCTTCACTGTTTGCAATTTCCTCTACTGCCCAATAAATTCGTCAAGGGTTTTATTTTATATACGGTAATACCTCCACTTATTTCCTAGTGCAACTCATCAGTTTCTCGAGACCAATCATGATAAAATATAAATACTCAAGAGGGGAGGAGGGCGGGTGAGACAGATAAGTTTACCCACAAAAATATCCTAGTTCATTTCGATATTTCCACTTTACGTGCCTCCTTAACTGTTTGCACAATAATTTGCATCACTACTCAAAGGAGGTTGGAAAAGAATTGAATAAGGAATTAAAATAAGAATATTTACCTCTTTTTTGTCGTCCTCTCTTGGAAAATCCGAAATGTTTCACTTGACAAAAATGGATTATGATAAAATACAAAATGACAAATAGTTTAATTGATTTTCTCATACCTTTTCTTATATTTATGTAAATTTTTAATGAACGACAAGGGCAACGTTTTAAATCCTCGGAATCAGTTGCATATGAATCAATTGACGGAATGACTAACGGCTCCCAAGGCCTATTCAATATCTGTGTTTTTGCAATAATTGGTAATAGATGAATTTCATTTTTCTCTATTCTAAAATGTTTCATCATCTAAAGACAACTATGAATTTCACTGACTTTACCTGCTGATGCAGTAGCTAATAGTGCAAATAACATAGAGCTCATGGGTAGTTTATAATTGAAAGAAGCCATCCGACCTAGAAGCTTAATAATCACTACTACTTGGGTCTGTTACTGATTTTGTAATGTATGTATTATATCTAAAATACTTTGACATCTGATCTCTGTTGGTGTTACTTTATTTTACCAATTTCTTCATTTTTACACCAGGTTCCTCTATTAAAAACCCGAACTACATACCATATAAAGAAAGAACTTTTAAGGATCCAGGAGGCAAGTAGGCTATAGATGAACAGAATTTTAATATTTTAAATGATCTCGTTGCGTTGATACACGTTCTGTGAATATTGTCAGACAATGATGGGACTTAATCTAAGTTACCGCTGAGTATTAAGGTTTAAAAAATTAGTTTATTTTTTATTTGTCTAGTAAATATGAAATACCAATTACAGTGTAAACATACTTCGATAAACTTGCAACAGTTTTATGTATGTAGAGCAATTCTATATATTCTATGTGCATAACTAAATTTGTGGAATATTTTATTTTGGCATTGCTATATATGAATAAAATGGCATGTGGAGTATATGTTAACAGTACATCAACCCAAAGAAAAAACACCATAAAAGATATCTAGAAGGCAACATACAACAGGTGTCTAAACAATATGTCAAGCTCTAACTATCATACATGCATTTTATCGTTATATTTCCATTATCTTTTTTTTTCTTATTTCTAATATTCCTCCAATTACTGATATTTTCATAAACCTTTTTAAAAGACGTATTATTGATAAAATGGTAAAGCTCGAATGCAATTGAAAAAATGTATCATATTTTAGCTCTATGTCTATTCAAAACGTTATATTGGATTATCATATTTTGAATTTAGAAATAGTCTTTAATCTGCTGATTGTTTATCTCATTATATATTCACCTACAATTTCTTTGTTTGTTTACAGATACGAAGGGCGTTATTAAAGCATTTGAAAATTTAGGTTTAAAGAAGTACAATGCAAAGACAAAGAATATGAAAAAAGATCCGACGATAGGTACACATTGATATATTCTTTTTCTTACATAAACTTTACGGCATATTGAGGAAAATAAGCAAGACAAGTATTTCCTATAAAACAAATATCCATTATAATGGATGCATGGTTGAATGTGTAAAGCTTCAAGTACCAATTACTACATGCATAATCAAGACGAAAACAATTTAATGTGAAATGAATATGAACCCTGCTTTTTTTTTTAATAGACCAATGCCGCGATAAGCATCTATTTTATATTTCATTTTATGGCCAGAAACCCACGATATCCCGAAAATGACGGTACCATTATGAAAATAAGGAGACGTTGTATGATTGCCTTTGAGTACAGATCTGAGAGTACTCGCAGTTACTGACAGCTAGTTCAATTCCAATAACAACTAATTAAAAAAAATCATGGATCTAAGACTAAAATATCAATCAGTACACATCCAACATCCAATGGATTTAGTTTACAAACGTCATTATCAATCAGAGAAAAACATGACCTTTGTAATGCAAAAATATAAAATATAGGTAGCGACAGATACAAATATCGACCAATACAAAGTGGGGACCTTCAAATGTTCAGAGGAGGCCTTAAGCTGACCTGTGGTAGTGACATCATTATTTACTATATGACTCTACGTGGAGCATACGGCCTTGAATGTAGTTGAATGTATAATTTCATTCTTAGGGACGGCGGTTATACATTCAGTTATAAACTGAAGACTTTACAATATGCAATTTAAAGTGAACTTGTTATCTGAAATAAGTTGAAAAATGATTTGATAAAGAGAGAACATATATATGTCATTCATGACAAAAATCTCAAAGTAGGATTCCGTCGTGATAGCGTTCCTTAGTATCATATGTATAGAATGCGATCATAAGCAACTGACTAACTTGTCGTTTTTATTGTGCTGTTTAGAACCTTCAGAGTATCGTATTAACTGAGAAACATACTCTCTTTACGTGTGCCCTACACTGTCGCTACAAATGAATTGAAAATTCATTACAGGAAATTAAAAGTATGCTTTTTCTCATTTTAAGATGAGCCAGTGTCAGTGGTCAAGTATTTGGACACTTTTGGTATCTTTTATTTCAAACACGATAATCATAACGTCATTTGATTCTGAAATAGAAATACCGGATTTAATCTAGATACGAATCACAAGTGACTTATTGTTAATCATCGACACTAAACCCAAAACATATATTCTTGTATTTTATTGTAAGTCAGTTTCTAAGTAAATTTATTTTTTGGGGGGAGGGGAGGATTCTTTTGTTGAATTTTTAATAATGAATAGGTTAGATATTTACTTGTTTGGGAGAAGTAATGTAGAAACGAGCAAGTTCTAAAAAGGGGGGTTTTACAGAAATCCCTTCTCGTTTAAATCACAGTATTATTAATTAGAAGCCATGTAAAACATTTTTACTGCGGAAAATAGTAAATTGCACTTTATCCGTTCGTATGTGAACGTATTTCAAATTAAATGATATGCATACTTCTCAAATTATAATGCTGGATAGAGCAAACTAAAAGATTGGTTACATGGACTTTTATAATAATAAATTATATGAATGATTAATAGTTATGATTGGAATGACATTTTGTCAAGACTGTTTATCATATAACAAGAATTTGAGAATTTGCATGTATAATTTGTTTTTATACTTAGACTCAGATTACCGATTTTATTTCAAGCAAGAGAGGTGAATTGCCAGTTTACAAACATTTTAATTAACATTAAACATAGAAAGATGATATGTAGATGGACTGAATTAATTTTGGATATTTGTTTTAGGCTATGGATTTAGTTTGAAACGACCTGATGGTCGTAAAACATTTAAGACCGTTTTGCCTGGTGTTAATTTTGATAGAGTAAAAGCTGGTAAAGAATCTATCAAAAAATCAGATGCAAAGAAATTGTTCAATGTGAGTTTTATAACCTTTTTATGAAGGTATTAACATAAAGAATTAGTATGTTGAAATATGTCTTGCTCGTATTGAATGTTATTAATTGTATTTCATTTCTTTATTGTTGTCTCATCTGCGACCAAAGTAGCGAAGGCATAACATATATAGCGATTTATGGTTCCGATGTCGTCAATATTTTGGTTCAATCTGTAGTTATACGCTTTTGAAACCAATAACATTGTAAAACTTTCTTTCAATTTTTCAATGGTTACTCTGTGATACTCTGAATTAAAATTATCGATTGGAGTAGTTTTGAAAATTGCACTGGGGTGATACTTTAAGGGTACATTTGCCCTGCCCAAATGTATGTAACCCAGCCTGGTAGCCAGTATGTCTGTTCTGGCATGCAAATATGGATATTGAGTAATTAGAATTTACTGTTGCAAGATTTTTGAAATAATTTTCAATTAAGGAATATACCTCCCTCATGCAAAGCTTTGATTTCCTTGCCCGGCTTTGGCTATACTCTTTGTCCTTTTTTGTATTATAATCTCTATGATTTCAATAAGTTTTGGATTTTCATATAGTTTTGCGTGAAGCATCACTGAAGAGACATCTATTGTCAAAATGAGCATCTAGTCCAGAAAAAAATGTTACCGCTACAGTTATTACCCATTAACAATTTTCTTTAAAAGTTAGAAACACTAAAGTTGACAAATGATATACATTACAACACAGAAAAACGATGAACTTTGACGAGACATAGGGTTTCAAAGAATCTTGATGATGTTGAACGATGGGGCAAGTCGGGTTTCAAGAAGAAATCGAAAACATGCATCAAATGAACAAGATTAACTGATCAAAATTAAAAAGAGTGATATAAGATCTAAAAAAAATATATTCACATGTCTGGTCTTAATCGTGTACCTCTTCAGTAGATCTCTTCAGTTATATCTTACTGTTTGTGATTTAGGGAATTTGGTGTCTGTGAGGCAAGATCATTGAGTGTTTTTGGTTTAACTTCTTGACAACTGTTTAAGATTCGGCGTGATTAAGAGCTTCACATATTGTAAAGATACTTGTTTATTGTTGAAGACCGAATGTTAAATTCGAGATGTCTGGTGTATTGTTTAATTTGATGCTGTGGCATTAACGCATTCTCAACATCAATTTTATATTTCTAAAGGATATCAAACATATATTGTGTTTGTATATTGGAGTATGAAAAATAGAAACTGAAGAAAGATTCAATTGATTATACATTACCTTTCAGCACGACGTCGACAAAATTTATCAACCACGGGCTAGAAACAGACTTGGCGCTAAGGTTTTCGATAAATTACCACCCAATGTAAAGACAGCTGTAGTTAATGCCCAATATAGAGGTGACCTTGGACCAAAGACTGTTGGCTACATGAAAAAAGGCCAATGGAATAAAGTTAGCACCGAATACCTTGATCATAAAGGTTACAAAAATGCCCCAAAGAAAAACATGAATGGAATAGTGGAAAGAATGAATTGGAATGCTAAACAATTCGACTCAATGGCTAAAAAGGGTTAATGAATTAATGTTAATTGACGAAACATTTCCGTCAATCAACATATGTGACAATAAAAAGTGCAGAAAAAAATTAATTGGGTTTGTTCTATATTTCACACATGTACTCTCTTTTCAAAAGTAATAGAATCGAGATGACCATAAGAGAAATAAAAAGAATAGCCAATTCAATCTGAGGTGAAATGCTTTTGACTTGTGTTTTTTTTATTTCACCAGTGCTAAATAAGCATTACAGAGAGTACCATATCGGAATAATATCTTAAAATGTTAATACAATATATAAACCGCTGAAACAGAGACATGTTTCACCTGTGTATAAATTCGTTAGTATAATGCAACTGTTGAAATTCATGCATGATATTGTTTTCTCTAAAAGCGATAAAGGAGTTGCAATTGTTATAACCAAAATGACACATTACATAAATGTAGGGTTAAGACAGTTAAACTCTATCCATTACACAGAGATAAAAGAACCTAATCTAATATTGATCAAAAATAATCTACAAACACAAGTCAGCAATGTCTTTGTCCTAAACTTCACAAATCATAATGTTATTCAGAGGATAAAAAACCAAACGATGACAGTAAATGAATTGCCCCTATGCAGACCAATTATTTCTCAATGCACTTTTGTCACCGAAAGGGTTAGCAAATATTGATTTCTTTTTTATGCCTATAGTTACCGGACAAAATAGTTACATAAGTGATAAAGGGGATTTCATAAATAAAATAGAAAATTTAAAGCCTGATCGGAATTGCCTTTTGGTCTGTATACCAACATGGAGTTCAATGAACTCATTCAATCTGTTGGACGTATTTATAACAGTTCAGTTAAAGGTATTTATCCGATAAAAATACATAGCAGTGAAACAATTAAATCCTTAGTAGCCACAGTGTTGAAGAACAATTATTTTGAATTTAATAACTGATACTTTTTATTGAAAATATGCGTCAGTATGGGAAGTAAATGCAGCCCAGAAATATGTGATGTTAGAGCATTTGAAGTTATCAATGAAATCATTGAAAATTTTAAGTATAAAGATAAGATTTTGTTTTTCGGAAGGTATAGAGATGATGCGTTTATAATAGCTCATTCATCAAGAGAAGAAGTTGAGGAGTTCTTTAAAATAGCAAATGGCCATCACCATTTATCTACGTATACCTACTTATGACATTTCAAACAAAGAAATTATTACAGTCCTACATAAAGGGGAAAGGTTCAGGAACACCGGTATTCGTGATATAAAGAGCTACACCAAACCTACTAATACATATCAGTATGTAGATAGGACGTCTATGCATAACCCCACAGTCTTCTCTGGATTTATAAAAGGGGGAGATATTCGCCATCATCGACATAGCAGTAACACACAGAATTTAAAAGATACAATTTGAAAATTCAAAGTTCATCTTAAGCAAAAAGGATATAAATTGCATGGCATATATCGTAACTGTGAATCTTCTCTCAATGTCGAATGATCGGAGTTACTCCGGTTTAAACAAGAATCTGACAAGCAGATACCACTAGTATGGTTGCGTAAAGTAGACATCGCAACTTAAAAGAGCACGTTAGTAAAAACCTTAAAAAACTATGACGGACTGGGTCAGGACCCCTGAAGAAGCACCCACTCTTCATTTGAGCCACAGTACATCTTAGAGTTTGTCCTATTCTGTACTGCAGAAACACGTTGTGTTGGGTCCTGGGGAATAGGCGTACATGGCTTCAGGTACTTTTTGACATTCAACAAACCGAAAAATTTCCAAATAGTTATGGAGCTTACTTTCACCAATCCCAGCAACAGTGTAAAGTTTAAGGTCAATTGATCCCTTTGAGCTAATTGTCTAGTACTTGTGGGATGACAAATCAGCTATGACTAAAATGTTTTCCAGTTGCACATGTATTTTTGTACTCTGAGTTAAACGTGTGTTCTAATTATGAATGTATTTGAAAAAGGATATGATGAACCTGAAAGTCGTTTAGAAATTTGTTTGTCTCAGATAACATTTTGAATCCACAAGCCTGAACTCAATATTTCGAATCGTGTTAAGATAATTATATATTCTATTCACAATAGTATTGGCCTGCAGGGATGATTTTTATATTCCCGAATAAAACTGTACAAACCTGGACTGGTGGACAGGTGGTAAAGTTCATTTGAAGACTGTTGTCCCGATAGACAAATGCTCATAAAAAATTAATGGTTGGTTTATTTATAAATATATACAGAATAAATAGTACGTAGAGAATATTACTATCCAACACTAAAGTAACATAAAACATTCCCTTATAATATTTGACACTCACCTCCAGAAAACCAATTTAATTAACCAGTCACTCTACTTGACGGCGTTCTTGACCAAAGTGAAAGTAAACTGCAGTCACTATTATCACTAATCTAAATCGCTCTTACAATTGGCATTTATTTCCGGATGGTATTGCACTGGACGAAACATAAGTATCATGTTCGCATTGGATTGTAATTCACCTGGACGGAGGGGCATTTCATTCACATGCAAATTATCGTTAATTGCTTTAAGTTTAACTTAATTCTTATTTACTGTGTGGGAGTAACATTAATTATACAATATATGACTGACAGACAGTTAAGTATACTTTATACGGGTGCCACATGTGGAGTAGGATCTGCTGACCCTTCCAGAGCACCTGAGATCACCCCCAGTTTTTGGTGGGGTTCGTGTTGCTTAGTCTTTGGTTTTCTATGTTGTGTCATCTGTACTATTATTTGTCTGTTTGTCTTTTTATTTTTGGCCATGGCGTTGTCAGTTTGTTTTCGATCTATGAGTTTGACTGTCCCTCTGGTATCTTTCGTCCCTCTTTCATGCCGTCCATCCATAATGGATGACCGTAAATCTATCATTTACGTCGTAAATCTATAAATGTCAATTGGTGCGGTTCCCGCGTTCCATATGGATAGTTTGTAATGTAATTTAATATACTATGAAAACTTTTATTTTGTACATTTCCTTTGTGTTTAAGGGCTAATAAACATGTACATATAAAGAATTTTATTATAAGAAATAGAAATCCTAAAGTTTTATATAAAACATTTTTTTTTTCTTTTAGTAGAAATCTAGAATATTTCATTGTTGTAATAGCTGCATTGTATGGAATGATTTTGGAAAAAAATATGTTTTTCTTCTTATAGTCATAAGGATAATAATTCGTCATTTTCATTGGCTACAAGATTTTTATTGTAATTCTATTTTTATTATAAGACATGTAAAGTTTGTGAATATTTTAATATATATTCATCTGTTGAAACTCTTTGCTTTTTAAGATTTTCAATCAGAGAAAGTGCATAACCTGACGCATTGTGATGTTATCAGTTTCAAAAAAGAAGACGTAAATTGCAAACAGTTTATTGAGTGCGGATTCTCATTTATGAATGAAATGTTGACATTCATTACAGGGTAAAATTCACTTGCCATACAAAACTTATTTTTATTTAACATTAATAATTTTATCGGATGATTTATGTTTAATAAAGTGTAATAATTTCTCGATTTTGTTTTAATCTTCTGTTTTCAATTATTAGAGGAACTCCCTCATCACTTGAAATAAATTACACAAATGATTACATTCCATGCTCTTCAATTATATTATATCATTTTGAATGTACATGTATGTATATCTATAAGATTAATTGTCAACAGAGGTGTATTTTATGTTTTTTATTTATTTGTGATTGAAGAAATTCATAACAGGTTCTTTTTCCTTATTATTGTGTAATCATACTAGGTGATTCTCATATGATGTGCATCACGTTTCCTTTCGTTATTACATCATACAAGTTTGTTCCTGTTTGTGGTGTTTGTGGATTTTTGTAACGTCATACCATGTGTGTGGTCCCGTTGTTTTCGTAGTATTTGTTACTTTATGGAAATTTGGCTTCTCCTTTTACTTTACTCACAGCCTACGATGTGGTAATTGATTTCATGGAAATTCCATGTCGATAAATTGCTTGTACATATAAATTAGGCCACATTATCACATTCAAGAAGATTCTGGCATCATGAAAATCTCTGTAATCCTAACTGCAGTAATTCTTGTTTGTGTTGCAAGTCAAGGTAAACAAAAATTTCAGCTTTTACAGTTTTGTTTTCAAAAGTTTTAAATGAATAATAATAATACTTAAATTTAGATGAAAAATTAGCGATGGGAGAAATTTCGTAGAAAAGTTTTGTTTGTTACACATATTTTGCTATCCCATTTTTTACCATAAATCTGTAAATTACGAAGTAAATCATTATCAGATCCCGCAAAATACTATATATTCTTTCCAACTGCTTTGTTAAGTCAAGGTTAGAGTATGAATAGGAATAGTTTCCCTTTACCTGCAAAACAAAGCCAGTGTTTGTAAAATTAACCACTGTTACAACCTGACATCACATTTCAAACATATTGATAGTGAATTGACTCTTCATTAAATCATTTGAAACAAAGCATGGTTAGTTTTCAACGAAGAATATTTGTCAAAATCTGTTAATGAGTTTTTGCCTTTATTTGCCGAAATGTAGATAGTTTACTTTCACTTTTGTTTTCAAGTTTTTATAGTTTTACAAGAAATTTTTTGTTTGTTTTTGTTTTTCTTTTACGATCGGTTATTTTCATTTTTCCCGATGGTGACTTTTTTCTCTCAAATGTAACGTTTATGTCTTGGTAGTCACAGCAGCTCTTTACTTAATTTGTGCCCATATATTGTGACAATATATTGACATAATATTCCATGCTAACAACGAAAGCGGATTTTATCTATTTGTTTGTCGGGTTGGACTTGCTCTGAAAGAGCGTAGGAATTAAGTTAAGGACGATACAATATGTTGTTTAATGGAAAGTCTGAGCTGCACTGGAACAAAACCTTTATTTATTGACATATTTGTTTTTTTCTTTTTTAAATATTGTTTTCAAATAAATTGCTGATTTAACATTTTCCTTACATGAAAGTAGACCAATAATGATTGAAAAAAACCCCGCAAAGAATATACTTTAAATTCCCTTATCTTACGGTTTAACTCTTGTTTTTTTTCTGTTTAAAAACAACTGTTCAATTGGGCGCATTGCAGTTGCATGCATGCATATTTTACTGTTTGTTAGGATTGATAATTTGCTTTTAAATTTTTGCCTTTTTACTTAAAATGGTACAATTTGATTGTTTGTATGTAGTAGAGTTTATTCAAGTCACGAGCTTTTAATTGTAAATTTAATCATTAATCATGCATGGTTGTATCAATCGTTTCTACGATAAAGAAAGTATGTATCCCAAAAACTAAATTTTACCTATGCAATTAAATATGTGATATTGGACATATTTAGATTAAACATGATTAGATTAATAAAGTGTAGTTGCTGTCTGCCTGGTATCGGCTACATGGACATCATGTCTATAAAATATTCATAGTCACATTCAAGAAAAGTAAGGCAATTTATACACCCTGTCTGTTAAAAAAATACACTACAAACTGCTCAGAGTCCCAAAAGACCATAGTTTTTACTTGACAAGACTCGACAGTACTTAACTGTACTTTACTTTGGTCTCGACTTTACTTAATAAGTCTGATTGAGTACTTGATAATCTTGGTATAGTCTGAACATGGTCTTAAACCAATGATCGACCAGTCTCGATCAATGCGCGACCAGTCTCTACCAGTCTCGACCAGTCTTGAACAGTCTCGATCTGTCTCGACTTAGTCTTGACCTTTAAATTTAGTCTCTACTGGTCTGAATCAGTCCATCTATCTCAACTATATATTGATCTTACAAATTTCCAGGTTATTTGGTAGTTTGGTTCATTGCTGTCAATTTAAGGATTTGATTAAGGATTTAATTAAAGGCTAAAAAAAGCTAATGATTTTCAATATGGAAACATATAATTGAGATAGCTGTAGAGTTTTATCAAAATTGATTTGAAAATTTAGTTCGAAATGAAAATTCTAGCTTTTTTTTAGCTATTAATTAGGTTCTTAAATTTGACAGAAATGAACCAAACAACCTGGAATTTTGCAAGATCAATATATAGTTGAGATAGATGAGACTTAATTTAAAGGTCAAGACTGAGTCAAGTCTGGTCGAGACTGATCAAGACAGGTCAAAACTGGTCGAGATTGGTCTAGCAATTGTCGAGACCATATTCAGAGTATACTAAGATTATCAAGTACTCAATCAGACTTATTAAGTAAAATCGAGATCAAAGTCGAGTACAGTTAAGTACTGTTAAGTACTGTCGAGATTATGTCGAGTCTTGTCAAGTAAAATATGTACTCGACCTTACTGGTCGAGCACAAAATATGGTCTTTTCTGACTGGGAGCAGTTTGTAGTGATATATATTAGCACAGTTAACGGAAGTTATTTCACTAATAACATGAAATGCAAAGGCGTGTATACGTACCATGAAGAATATTTCAGATATCAGGATTATAATTATCCTTAGTTTTATCATCACTTGTATCATTATTATTATTGAATTCTGACTTTTTAATTAGTTTCGGCATGGTTTGGTGGGAGTAGAAGTAGAGGCAGTTCGTCAAGAACCAGTAACGGTAGTGGCACCAGACGATCAGGTATGATATTCTCTTTCAGAAATATAATTTATTATCCATTAAAATTGTATTACTGTAAAGTGGGGAATTTTCGCGAGGTGTCTGTTTTCGGTCATTTCGCCATTAAGAAAAAGAAATTACGCCCGCGTAAATTTGTTCTTTAGGAATATGATCAGATTCATGGGAAAAAACGCGAAAATAAATTCTTACGAATAGATTTGTCCTTTGCAAAACCCAAATCTCGTGAAAAATAAACATCTTTTCAATATCTTTTTTAAAGAATTAGCACATCGGAATATTATCTCAAAAGTTTGATTTGATATTAAGTGTGTCAGGTAGAAATTATTTTCAATCCAAAAAAATTTTGAAATTCTTACAAGCGAACAGCTAGTATAAATGTGTCACAAATATTGATTAAGTCCACAAAGGAGATGTTTTCAATCGATTCGAGTCTTGGTCGAATAGCTCGATTCTGTAATCCCACAACTTTGGGAATAAGCTTTTCTTACAAAGTATAGCATTCCGGAGAATGCAAGATTATCCAATCCACAAAAGGAACATGCTTAAATCGATTTAAATTTTGGTGGAATAGCTCGAAAAGCGCAATGTTTTAATTTGAGAACATGGGAATTTGCCTCTTTTGCAAATATAACATAACTTATACGCCAATCTGGAGAAAAAAGGATTATCCATTCCCAAAATATCCTCTACGCGGATCCGCCCAATCACCTTTGTCCAAACTTTTGTTCTGGTAATTATTAAATCAGTCGACACATATTGTTTAATTACTTGTCTAATTTTTGTACAAATTAATACATGACTCAGAATAGGGTACTCTTATGAAATGAAAGCTAGTTCTCGGTTTAACGTTTAAATCGACGGAAAAACGGAATAATAAAAATACTGGCGTATGCACCTGCTTGATAAGCACTTGTCATGGTAGTACAATTAATTTTTTCATATGTTTAGTATTTTCATTGTAGGATGGGGCTGGGGTAGAGCTTCAAATAGAAGTAAGTGTATTGAACATTACATTTCATGTCTGTTTTGTGCTTGTGTTAATTTATTCGTTAGTTAATATTTTGCGGTAGAAAGTTGTTTTTGCTAGAAGTAATTCTCATAGTTCTTTGTAGAACTTCGTATACCATGGCCGTTGCTTGCATGCATTCACACAAAGAGAAAAGTATTTTATTGGATACCCAATCTTTAAAATCAATACATTATAAAGCTTGACGGAACTTATTTAAGCAATAACAAAGAGTCCAAAGAAGTTCAAAATGAAAGATATTTCAGACATCAAGATTCGAAAGTCGATTCCAAAATGTAGGCCGTAAGTAAGCTAATAAAGCTTATAAAGGCAAATAGATATCTTTCCATATTTAAAATCGTTACCAAATGTGTTGAATATGGAGATGTATGCCCTTGTATCTTACAGTTATGGGTTTTTTGCTTGTGAGAGAGCTGAATACTAATAGTTTTTATTACTATTTGAATTTTGGTGGATAGTTGTCTCATTGGCAATCACACCACATCTCCCTTTTTTTATAATGTTAAAGATTATATCTTAATAAGATAAGTAACCAATTATTTTTAAGATTGAAAACATTTCAAACTTTTGCAGCCTTTTTGTGGCTGCAAAGTTTCGTTTAAAAAATTATTACTATTAAGCCAGACATAACGAAGATCACAACTTCAATATCTAAGTGTTCCATTGTTTGCTTGATATCTGGTCCAGGACTCTATTATCAATAGTCATCAAGATAAAGGAAACGATTTTCAAACTTTTTACAATGGAAAAGTAAAATATAAAAAAGATCACATATAGATATTATTCGATATCGATTTTGCCAGTTGATTAGGGACTTTCCGTTTGAATTTTCCTTGGAGTGCGGTATTTTTTTAAATTTTTTTTTACTTTTTGTGACAAACACACACACAAAGTGTTATTGACAAGCATGATGCGCTAGAAGTTTACGATCTTGTGGATTTTTTGAAACTGTGCAATTGCAAGCAACTAAAGCATACATAAGTACATGTGAATAACGTAATGTTAAATAGAATGTGCATTAAAGAAAACATGGGTATATCTAAATGAGATCAAAATATATCAAGAATGCAAAGTAAAAGCTGAAAATATAGGAACATACACTCCAAGCATGGTTAAATGTGTATTATATAAACTTTTTAATATTCAAAAGCCATGACATTTAAACAAATTAATTTAAAAAAAAAATAAATTGCTAAAATTGAAAAAAAGATATGGATAATGCTGTCTTCGAAAAATATATACAAGCATTATTATCACCTGTGTTTCATCAATGAGACAACCTTATAGCAAACATTCAAAATTAGTTACACGCCTTTATTCAGATAAGATATTTCTTAATTTTATAATTGCACTTTTAAAGGAGGATCCATATCAAGATCTGCACCTAGGCCTAAACCTGCACCAAAACCTGCGTCTAAACCAAAGCTGTCGAGAGGTAAGTAAATGAATAAACCTTATGTAATATATGGAAAAAATACTCACCCCTTTTTCATGCGTAGATCCTCCTCCTTCACCGGGTTTGGCTCTATAACTTTCTTCTGATGTAGCTTCTTGATGTTTGTGTCTCATTTCGAATTGCCAAATTACTTGCCTAACAAGATTCACTGAGCATATATCATTTGTCAATTATATTGATGTTTTAATATTAAATTCTACTAATATAAACGGTCTCAGAATATTAAAATTATTTTTGTTTTTGGTCATTGAATTTTATCAGGTTTAAAAGAAAATATCTTTTTGTTCCCTTGAATGCAGATTGTGCATACTCTCAAATTGTATGATTAATTCACCATTCATTTTAGTTTTTATCAAAATAAGTTGCTCTCCTATAAATAAAAAAAAAAAAAACAGATCTTGTAAAAGGTTGTGACGAATACGGAAGGGCTTAGTAATATGCTAATACATAGCATGGAGGAGGCATTTTGTCAAACATAATTATTTTATAAGTTTAACCTTTTTAAAAGATACGGAATGTTTCGCAGTATCATAAATTACATCGCGCAATAATTGTTGAATACCCGTACTGTAATTGAATTAATTTATTCGTATATAATATCTTCTCCTCTACCAGGAGTGTTCCCAGTTCTGTATCCCGTTCAAGCCAATACAACCTAAGCCACATCATTAGACAACCAATCAGAACCGATATTTTTAAGTTATAATTTCAAGATGACGTGATTATCAAATGAAACTAAAAGCTTCACACCGTGATGCAAAGGAAGTAAAACATCATCAATATACACACATAAGTTTTCCTTGAACCATTAGTATTTTCGTATGCATCCAAATAAATTATGATTATATGATATGAAACATTAATCATTTTTTTGTGGATTTTCTCCTCTTATATTTCGTAATGTTGGGTCCTCAATGTTCTTCAACTTTTTTTCTTTAGTTTGGACTTTTTTTTCGAGCGCCACTGATGAGTCTTTTGTAGACGAAATGGACGTGTGGCGTACAAAATATTAAGCATGGTACCTATGATGAGTTTACAAGCAAAATTGTAATTAGTAAGAATTAAAAAGCGAAAACAATTTAAATTAATCATTATCAATCTAATTAATATTCTGCAGGATGGTGGAGGTCAAGGACACCAGCTGTAAGCAGTGAGTACACTTAGCAGATTAAATAATAAAATGACCAACATTTCGCGCGGTTGTTCAAACCAAAATTTCAATAGGATATTAGAAAAAGTGATTTAGTATTCTTTACTAAGTCATCAGGAAGCCATGTTGTGGAGTTTTACTTACTAGTACTTATTATAAATTTACTTCAAATTGGTTGCATACGTGTTTAAGCAACGTTATTACCAAATGTAAATATGCTATAAATAAATGTGATTCTAAAGCAGATAAACAGAAGGAGTTATGTTCAGTAACCTTTTAGCATTCCCTCAAATATTTGTCTACAAAATGTTATGACTGGGCTCTGGTTTGTAACAAAAAAAAAAAAAAAAAAAAAATCGGGATTGGCATATAACCTTGATGACATTACTGTAAAACACGTCACTTGCAAATTGTGACACAAAGCTCAAGCTAACATCTTTACTTTCTAAAAGCATTTTTTCTGAAAAATAAAAAAGAAATAATAAAAACTTGTGTCTTTATTTGTACAAAAGAATAGTTAGAAATCTTCATTTAAGAAATGAAAATAACATACATAACATAATAATATATGATACAACCTATTTTTACTCTCAATGCGTAAGACTATCAATGACACTAGTGTAGCAGGAACCGCTTACCCTACCCGAAGACCTGAGTTTACGCGATTGTTTTGGTGGGGTTCTTATTCCTCAATCTTTTGTTTTCTGTGTAGTGTTTTGTTATTCTTGTTTGTCTTCTCGTAGTTTTTCATTTTGCAATGTTCTTGTCTGTTTTAATTTGACATTATTGGTTTTTTTCCTGTTGTATCCTCTCTCTCTTCCTTTTGTTTTTAAGACATCTGTTTCAAGACGCATTAAATTGAATTGATAATTCTTTTGTTATTTCACTTATTGATATAAAAAGAGAGATTAAATATCTCCTTAAAACTAGACCCAGAACAGTATTTATAGCCTTTCTACCTGCCGTTAGGTTTTAAAGGACGATAACTCTATATTTTACAGGAAGCTGAAATGCGCAATGCAATTACAACCTATTTTCACGAGTCGCGTACAGTTATCCTGAACGGACCGTAAACCTTTGCTTATTTCCACCATTAATTCTGTTATTAGCATCTATTTGTTATAATAGGTACAGTCATTGTATTGAAAAAAATCATTCTTCTTTGTCGCATAATTTATATATAATGCATAGTGATGCACGTTGACTGAATATGAAAGTGCATATGTACTGTAAATTCAGAAATTATTGCGTGCATTTATTATTGCGATTTTGTCATTTTAGACTAAAATGCAATTTTAATTTTTGCGATATTGAGAAAATTCCTGTTTAACTCATATAGAAAATTTCAAAATGCGAGTTTTAATTATTGCCATTATAACCCGGTCGCATTTTTCGCAATAATAAAAACATCGCATTAATTTCTGAATTTACAGTAGTTGTCTCCCTTAGTAGTATAATCAGTTTCAGAATGTGCATATCTGGCTTCATGATAAAAAGTATTTAATAAGTTAATCCAAGCATTACACAACAATAGACATTTACTAAAAATTAAAAAGAAATGGCTTGAAATAATATTGCCTTAACCTCCTCCCCTTAAAGAAACCAAATTGTATTTGGCAGACAGGATTATTATGTCATTGTTATTTCCCTTGTTTAAAACTATAAATTTCATATTTCTTCATTTAATGACTTACATGATGCATATTCAATTCATATTTGTGAAATTGAATAGAATTGGTATTTTGAATTCATTGGTTAAAGATATTTTTTTAAATTCTAAAGTTTAGTATTTTGGATCGTCGCAAATCATTTATAACCTTATTTGATAGACTTAAGCCTATACATTTTATATAACTGGTTTGTAATCATTATATTAAATTGTCTGAAGACTGAAGCTCAGTCCAATAAAGGAAAGCTGTGAATTTCCAAAACTTTGATAAATTTGTTGAAAATAGTATGACCCCTCCCCCTAAAAAAAATCCCCACCTCCAAATTTTTCTTTTTTTTAATTTGAAATTTCAAAAAAATATGAATCCACCAAAAAAAATTGACATGATAGAACTTTTCGGTCGTATAAAAACATTACAGAGAAAATGATTTCGTTCTTTTCCAGATAATTGATCAAACAGACTATACAAAATAAAAGTAGTGAGTGAACATTGGGTTATTCCTCTTAGTATGAAAAAATGTCAAAGAAAAACTTTGGTTGTTCCCCTTGCATTCATTAGTTGTTTATAAACCAAAAAAATATATTACTATTTTCTCAGGCGTGCATGAATACACAGTCAAATGTTTTGTTATATTTTGCTCTTATTGTAGATGACTGTTTAAAAAACAAATTTCATTGGTTAATTTTGATATTTACAAAATTATGTAGAAAGGCTAGTATTTAATTTGTCCTTTTAAAGTATTAATTGCTCACTCTTACCATAAAACAATTGAAGGGCACCCTGGAAGAAACACCGTTTGATTTAGAGAAAACTTTTATTTCGTTTTCAGGGATCCCAGTGCCAAAGCCAAAACCAAAACCAAAACCAAAGATTTTACCTAAACCAAAGCCATCAGGTAAGTAGTTTTGACAAGGTACAGATCATTTATGGAATTGTAACGGTATTTTTCATAACATTTATCTTCCCAGTATAAATTCATAATAAAAATTCTAAATATAAACTTGGAATTTTAAAGTATATCATTGAACAGATTTGCTTTTTTAAATGTGAAGATTTATCATCTGCTTGATTACTACCTTCTGCAGTTTAGGACTTTTTGTTATGGTGTGCCTCAGATGAATATTTGTTCAAACAGTTTGTACTTTATTACGTTTAATCTCACCTGACCCAAAGGGTCAATTGAACTATTCTCGTCACTTGGTGTCCATCGTCCGTTCTCTTTTACAAACATTTTCTCTTCTGAAACTACTGTGTTAATTAGAACTAGACTTGGACACAATCATTATTTGGGTAGATGGTTTAAAAAATATGTCCGATGATTTTGTCTACTTAAAAACATTGCCAACATGGCTTAAAGTAGAGCGTAAGGGTAAAATGAAAGGTTTTTTTTATAATTTGAAAACAACTTCCGAGATAGAACAAATGACAAGGTGGAAATGTTCAGAATATTTAGGTCTACCTACTTACACAAAAACTGTTAGACAGCTTATTATATAAGTTATCGCCCTTTAATGACGAATTTTTGCAAACTTTGTGTATTTTTGCCTATTAACTTAAACCTATAATAGATAAAGATAAACTACAAAATGCAAAATTTATCAGTCAGACAGTTCAAGGTGTCCGCTGGCGATTAAAAAATAAAAATTTTGGCGATTAAAATTCATTATTGGCGAAATACTTTAGCGAAAGAAATATAACTGTTCGACTACGTCTATTTTGTTAAATTTTTCGGCTTTCTCAGACTTTTTCCCTGATCAGAAAGTACTGGGATTTAACCTTGAACTCGTCACGTCTGCAACAATGGACTATTAATAAAGGTTTTTATTGTATTGTTTAATGAATATTAGCGGTTGAATGGCCTCATGGTAAATACAAGTAATAATACTTATCTATTCAATAATTTGTTCAATTATTTACAAGTACAAGTACAAGTACCCCTTCTGTTGGTCTAAGTCCCCTGCTCACCAACGAGGAGGTGGAAGTGGGATTTCGAGCAGGATGAGTCCGTTTTATTATGCACTAGCACAAGCACTAAAAATGTTAAAATGTTAAAACATAACTAATCAAAAAGGTAAAAGTACTGATAGTACATGACTTTATATATCGGTACGTGTCGATAATTTGAAGCCAATTGCTTTGAGAAATAAAAATCTGTCACTCAAGTTTTCTAGCATCGGACTCGTGTTTATGTTCACAGTTACCATTTAGAATGGCTGTTAAATGTTCGTCAGTTTTTATTCTGCCTTTGCAATCCTTAACAGTGCCTCGCCAAGATATATCCCCTGACTTCAGTGTTCTATCAATACGGAAGGTATTAAATTATTTGCTAATTTAAAGTGATCACTATTCGTTGAAACACTATTCACTATGAAATATTCGCGATGAAGTTACATGTATGCCTTAAGCTATAATGGGATTTAATTAAATGTTTGTTATTAATGAATATGTATCTAATACAGTGTAGACTAAAAATAGATATGTAGAACTATATAAGATTAGACATTATTGCTGGAAACTGAATTGTTTTATGTTTTTGTTAGTAAGAAGGAAAATTTTAAACGAAAAATATGTTTATGTCTAATGTGATCAGCGTAATAGATGTATATCAAAGCTGAGGATACCGAATACAGAAACCACCCTATGACTTAATATCTGAGTGCATGAACACTTATGTCAGGACACACCTTGCTCGGTTTTTTGGAGGCGAATTAGTAACAAGGAGAAAGATTCCAATCGAAATGTCATTTATTAAAGACGACGGTCAAAATTATTTACAACAACAGGGGAAATCATCTTACAAAGGGTAACATTTAAATGCCCCTGATTTAACTCCCCTGATAAAAAGCCAGCCTACGAAAAAGGTGACGTACAAAAAAGGCCACTTTCAAAAGGTGGCGTATCATAAAAAGGCTACTTACAAAAATTAGCATATCATAAAATGCCATTAACAACATAATTGCAAAAATCATGAAAATTAAAATCACAAAACTCACATCATATTTAAATGTACAAGGTGGCAAGTTATTGGGGTAGGGGTGGGATAAAAAAATTGTCCAGAGAAAATTTGCGATCTTTCTTGTCGCAGATAAAATATTTACCTCAGAATATATCTGTTATCTGATTGGTTGGTTAAAATACAGATTAAATAATTATGCCATTTACACTCAGTTCAAATTGACTGTTTAATTCAAATAGAAGTTGTCCACATAAACATAAATGAATTGATAATATAAATTAGATTTTATGTCTAATGTGATCAGCGTAATAGATGTATATCAAAGCTGAGGATACCAAATACAGAAACCACCCTATCCCTTAATATCTGAGTGCATGAGCACTTTTGTCAGGACACACCTTGCTCGGTTTTTTGGAGGCGAATTAGTAACAAGGAGAAAGATTCCAATCGAAATGTCATTTATTAGAAACGACGGTCAAAATTATTTACAACAACAGGGGAAATCATCTTTTAAAGGGTAACATTTAAATGCCCCTGATTTAACTCCCCTGATAAAAAGCCAGCCTACAAAAAAGGTGGCGTACAAAAAAGGCCAAAGCGAAATACAGGTTTTACTTAAAGCTGAAAATTTTAAACGAAAAATATGTTGATGTTAGTTTGTTAAATAAAAAGAAAGTGGCGAATAAAATATTGTTTTGGCGAAACAATAGTCTGAAACTATTGTTCAAATCAGGCAACGGGCTGAAATCGTTGGACAGCAGGACAAGATCTTCAAATTTGTCAAATGGTCGAAATCAATTTAGGAGTTTTTGCCTATCAATTACAATCTTTATATTTTTACATTATTAACCAAAAAAACATTAAAAACAGAACAAAATTTACAATGCAAATATGACCAACATGACAAGATCTACTTTTTAAGTAATAGTGAGGAGGCAGTTTGCCATACATTATCATTTCATTAAACATATCATAAACAAAACGAATTGGAGTCCTTAATTTGGACCTTCCGTGTTTTCATAAACATTCTATACATTAATAGTATATATTATGGAATATTCATCTATTTATTATTGATTTTCTTACACTTACACTACCATGCAAAATTGTAGATATAACGATTTAACGATGAGAGAGAAAAAATCAAAATACAACAATACTAATATTATTTATATTCTACAGGATGGTTGTGGTCAAGGAAACCAGTTAGCAGTGAGTACATATAACAATTCAAGTAATTGAATATCCAAAGTGATTTCCGCGGGTTCGTCGTTATCAAAGTTTAAATGAGCCGTAAGAATAAATTGTTTGACACTTCAAGACAACTCACTTAACTAAGGCACATAAAAGCAACGTTGTTGGTTTAACCAACTAGCACTAATTATCAATAGATAATTTTATTACCAAATGTATGTGTAATATATAAATATGGTTTTTAAAGCAGATAAATGAAGCATATGATTTAATCTCTTCTTCTGTTGCATGTGTTAGGCTTTCTTAAAACAATGTATTGAATTGTATGGCAATGAAGAGAGCAAGATTTTTCAATGGTGTCTAGAATAGAAGTTAATAGATTTTAGAAATCTCAACATTATGTCTTTAAACTATTGTACGGATGCAACAAAGCCGTGTTTATGTAATATTAATGAAATCTCCAAGATGAAAATAACGTTGAATATAGTCAAATTGTTATTTATTTACAAAAACAGTTACCACTAATATGTAAAAACTACTCACTGACAAGCATACATATCTTTACTTTTATATTCTAGTGTAAGAGAAAGCTCTTTAAAGCCTTATCATACCATCCAAAACCGTTTATGTGTCTGAGTAAAATGAACTTTAGCAGATCTCACACTTTCCATAATCTATGAACTAAAAGAAAACATTTCATAATTCATGTTTGTGTGAAGTAAAATATATTATGCATTGGGATCGCTCATATTGATAAACTGCGTATAAGTAAACGATATCAATATGGAGGTTGACGTTTGTTTACTTTATTATAGCATTCAATAATTTGAACACGCCCTTTTAATTTTTAGAATGCTCATATGTCGAATCAAATTACCTTTGTCTTATAATGTTGTGTATTTGTATATTTATATAACTTGACGCTGAATAAACGACACTGATTTCAGATTGTTGGCCACACAAGCTGGGAGCTTGATTTGATATATGCATGGGTGTCTTTTGTTAATGACTGTATTATGTAGTCCCTTTTCTTTCGTTTGATGGTCCTGGGTGGGGAATTCTCTTTGTATTCATATTTTACAGTTCTGAGCATCTATAGCTTTTTGTTCAAACTCATCTGAAAACCGTACTTTGACCTATAATGGTTTACTTTTATAAATTTTGACTTGGATGGAGAGTTGTCTCATTGGCACTCATACCACATCTTCTTATATCTATCAAGACCATGATTGCCAGTTTTCCTGCCGAAGATCGGTTGTTGTCTCCGGACACTCCGGCTGCTACGAAATTGAAATAAGTGCTGAAAGTGATGTTAAACACCAAAAACATCGATCGGCTAATCAAGTAAAGTCATTCAAGTACTAAACTAGTCTTTTTTTGTAAAACGTACTAGTGTTAGTTCAATTTAAAGCATTATAAATCAAATTCATACTTAAATAAAGGTAAAAATCTAATGAAAGAATGGGATATCTTTAAAAAAAACTTCCATTTCATTTTTAGAGATTCCAGTGCCAAAGCCAAAACTAAAACCACCAGTTGGTAAGTAATTTCGACAAGGTACTGCGTATTTACGCATATCCAAAGGTACTGTTCATAACCTTTATCTTCCAACTACATATTCATAAATAAAGTGCTATATCTAAAACTATAATTTCTAAGTTTATCATTTAAATTAACACGTCTACCTTTTTTTAATATGAAATCGTAACACATGCTGGATTATTACCTTTTGCAATAAAGTTACATATTCAACTGAATTTCCAAATTATTAACAGCACTTTTTTTGTGGGTGTGTGTCTGAAATGGAGGTATTATACTCTTTTAAAACATTTATAAATAATTTATATATATATGTGTAACACTCTCAATTGATTCATATAGGTCAACATTTTAAAATTGAATATACATCATTTTAGTAAAATGTACTATTCTAATAGGTATAAGAAACAACAAAAATGAAAGCAAAATATGGAAATATATAAAATAAAAAAAAAATAGTAATGTGCTGAGTTTTATAATTTTTATTTAGATGTATCATTGTCAATGGAAAGGTAAATACTATGAAATTTATTACATAGCATATAGAATTTCCATTGGATTCTTCAGCACATATTCACAACTCGAGTAGTCTTATATTTGGTTTATTGATAGTTAGTAATGAGGATTAACTATATGTTGTATTATGTAAATTTGCTCACTATTTTCAAACTGTAATATTTGTTAAATTTTTGACAGTGATGTAATCCTGGTATCTTTTTTTTCACGATCTTGAATTTATAAATGCATGACTAAATGACAATTCAAAGGAGAAAACTAACGGCCTACTTGAATTTTTGGTTCTTTTGAATTAACTCAACAACTTATTTAAAGTCATAGTAGTTTTGAGTTTTATTATACGGTATAATACTTTCTCATTGAAGTTACTTTTGTGATGACCTTATAAGGTGTAATACCACCGAACCATTGTATGTTACAGTCACTTTCATGATAAAGTAGGATGAACAAATAATTCCCTTTTTTAGGGTAGTATGAAATAAGCTATGCATTTCATTGCGGAAATTGTTTTCTGATTCATCAATATATTTTTTTTATTTGTAGTTCCTATAAAGTATTTTTAAAACTTGAGGTGACCTGGCTACTACAGCTTGTAAACAGTCAAAAAGGGTCAAAAAGTAGCTAGACGTGCGTTTCGTCTACAGAGTATACATTGTTCGGATAGGTTTAAATACTTAGACATCGCGGCGATATATAGATTATTGATAACTTCTGTTAAACCTACAGAAAGAAGATTTCTGTCGTTCTTCTTAATGATATAAAAATAAGAAGATGTTGCATGATTGCCAATGAGAGAACTATCCACAAAGTTTAAAGGACATCAATATAAACAACAACATTTTGTCGTACAGCCTTTCTTAATAAACAGCTTGAATTGCTTCACATTGCTGTCATGCTGAAGCATAAAAAGGTGACTATACAGTTTCGATTTTTCTCATTGTTGATGGCCGTATGGAGACCGTTGGCTCAATTGACTCTGGTGAATCGTTGTCTCATTGTTTATCAGACCACATCTTCCGATCTTTGAAATAACTATATCTTGTGAAATTAATTGAGCATTGTTTTATTATACCCAGTTCTTTATTCTTTTTTTCCCCTAGGTTCCTCTATCAAAAATCCGAACTACATACCATATAAAGAGAAAACATTTAAGCATCCAGAAGGTAATGACGCTATATATGAACAGAATTGTATAAACCTTAAAAAATCTCATTGCATTGAAACACTTTCTGTGAATAGTATCAGACAATGATTGAACTTTATCTAATATCCCGTTAAATATTTTGGCTTAAAATCATTTTACATTTTATTTGATTTAAATGTCTAGTAAAGTTGTTAAACTAATTACAAAGTACCAATTTTCGAAAATGTCTAGTCAGTTTTTCTGTGTGCAAAGCAAATTGCTCATATATAAGTTTGTGATAGATTTCCTTGTGGAATTGCTATTTAAAAAATAATTCAGGTAAGCCATTTATATTTGCCCAAAATTTCCACATGGCCATGGCTGCTAAATTTGAATTTTATCCCGAGCGTTAGCGAGTGATACCATTAACGAATATAAAAGCTCAGGTCATGTGTAAATGATAACAAATCTATGGCATGCATGAATTATTTCAATACTAATAGGATAAAGACGGTAATTTAAAAAAACTGAAGCGAAGACAAGTGTGCCATGTGTGTGGCTGTACCCCTGTAAGATAAAGCTAAACATGTAAAATAAATCTATGGCTTGCATAAACAAATGTGTTTTAGCTCAAACGTTTGCAATTATTTATTCACTTGGTTGGGTTTTTTTTTTTCGTTTGCTACTATTTTGCGTCAAATCCATAGTTGACATGTCGTAACTGAGGAGTTAGCCGCCATGTTGACTTGCTGAAGTCTATAAATGTGCAAATAATGCAGTAGAATAGAAAATGAAACAACAGCTACCTCAAATATTTTCCGAATTTGTATCGTACAAGTAAAGGAATAACCTTTAACTTGAGAGTTTTTATTCAAACGACGTTTATGCGCCAAAATCATTGATGGAATTTCGGCGAATTTTATCTAATTCAAATTTTATATATTTTTTCCAAGCTTTAATGCATTCAAATTAGAATTAGAACAACAGTACTGTGTTTTTTTTCAAATTTCAATTATAACACAGCAAAATCGACATAGTGTTTGCACATATGTTACGACACCTGTGGATTTACGTGGGAGTTGAACTGTAACAGCCATAAATATGTACAGCTGAGAGACTTTATGCGCTGACTATAGATACTAATATATCGAGAATTTTATCAAGATGCTGTTTACAAAGCAAAAGCAGCACGTCATATTAGCGTTAGTAATGTCAAGCCGTGTTAAAATGGGCATATGTCATGGCATGGAAGAGTTATTTCGATTCTAGTAGGAAAATTCAGCTATTTTGTAAATCAAAGCGGATTTATAAGACACATTCCAAAGTCAGTCATTTTAATTTCGTGTAGGAAAAACGTTCTAGAAAACAAACCATTTGACGATTAAAAACAAATGCATGTAAACGTATTTTGACAATGATTTTATTTAATTTCCATGTTATAAAAACAAAGCACAACTGAGGTTGCAATTTTAATTGTGAAGTCACGCACGAGCACCCACTATTATTTATAATTAGAACATGGCTTTTATTACCAATCTTTCCTGTCATGATCTATGCTCAATTTAACATGAGTAGGCATTATATTGGTAAATATCTTTACACAAATATGCTGCCTGCCTATTTCAAAATGAAAACAGAGCATGGCTTGAAAGAGTTATTTCGATATTAACAGGAAAAATCTGAACTTTTGTACTTGGAAGCGGACCTATAAGACGAGCTCGAAAGCAGCCTTTTTGAATTGATGAAACACAAACGTTCTAGAAAAGTCAGCAAACCAATTGTCTCACAATTAAAATGAAGAATTGTTACATGTAAACCTACTTTTATAATGATATTATATAATTTCTTTGCGAGAAGCACCATCAAAAACGCCCATGTTGATCTCCGGCGTTGATCAACATACAATTGATGTTTTTATAGTGTCCTGGTTTCTAATATACCTTCAATTACTGTTATTTACATAAAATTTTTAGAGGTTTTAATGATATTTATCCTCTGACTGTTTAAAATGTTATATTGGATTATCATGTTATGAATTAAAAACAATCTTCAACCTGCTCATTGTTCATCTCATTATATATTCATATACAATGTGTTTGCTTATTTTACAGATACAAAGGGCGTTATTAAAGCATTTGAAACGCACGGTGGAGAACCAAATTTAAAAATGTACAATGCAAAGACAAAGAATATGAAAAACGATCCGACAATAGGTGCATATTTATGTATTCTTTTGCTTACAGAAACTCCATGGCTTTTGGTTTTCGGCATATTGCGGGAATTAGGCAAAAAAATATTTCCCTATTAAACAGTGACTTTAAAGGGCCCATTGGCTGTGTTAATGTAGCGATCAAGTAAAATAATAGCTAGCACGGACACGTGTGGTATCTTGTATTTCAAACGCAGTGATGTTGTCGATAATCATTATGTCATTTAATTCTCAATAAGAAATATAATAAATAAGAGTAGTAATCGTGAAATGGATCACAAATGAATTATTGCATCGAAACTAAACCCAAAAACATTTTCTTGGATAAAATTACATTTTATAAGAAGTCAGTTTCTTGGCATTTTTTATATTTTTTTGGGAGATCTTCGTTGAAATTTTGAAAATGAATACATTTAATATTTACACATTCGGGAGAAGTAATGTAGAAACGAAACAAGTCTATGTACCCCAAACGAGGTTTTAGAGAAATCACTTCTCGTTTTTTTCACATCATCATTAGTTAAAACACATCTGAAACATATCTACTGCGGTAAATAGTTAATTGCACTGTATCAATTTGTATGTGAACGTTTGGAATTTCAAATAAAATTCAGCTTTTAAAACTTTAAAATTTATATGTTTACCCCTCAAATTCTAATGCTCCATCTAACATGATAAAAGTAACTAAAATCTATGTTTCACGTACTTTTCTGTGTAGAGTATAATTAAGTCTAGACTAAAATTGAAAATGGAAACGGGGAATACGTCAAAGAGTCAACAACCCGACCAAAGAGCATAAAACCCCAACGCCACCAATGGGTCTTAAACACAGCGAAAAAAATCCCGCATCCGAAGACTGTCTATAATATAATAAGAATTTGCATGTCTAATTTGTTTTATATCTAGACTCAGAAAACAGATTAAAGATTTTATGTCATAACCTAAGAGAAGAAAATTGTCAATTAATATGTTATTTTTACAAACATCAAATAACAGAGATATGTTATATTTAAATAGACGGAATTGATTTTGAATATTCATTTTTAGGTTATGGATTTAGCTTAAATCGACCTGATGCTCGTAAAACATTTAAGACCGTTTTGCCTGGTGCAAATTTTGATAAGGTAAAAGCTGGTACAGAATCTATCAAAAAAGAAGATGCAAAGAAACTGTTTAATGTGAGTCTTTATAATTATTTTAATTAAGGTATTAACATACAAGTTTAGTACGTTGAAAAATTTCTTGTTCGTCTTGAATGTAATTTCTCTGATTTTAAATTCTAAATTTGTCTCATCACTTAGGGGAAACTGGCCCTACTCAAAATATATGTAATCCTTACCCATTAACAATTTTCTTAAAAAATTACATTTAAATTGACATATGATTTATATCACAACACTGACAATTTTGAACATAGGTGAGACAAAGGGTTCCGTACAACCCTTTATGATTTTTTTTTTTTGGTGGATTTAAAATATACGTTGGGATCGTGCACTAGTAGTACTATGAACAATATCAACTGGTCAAAATTAAAAACAGAGGAATATAAGATCTGAAAGAAAAACATATTCATGTGTCTGGTTTATATCGGGTACCTCTTCAGTGGACCTTTTCAGCTATATCTTACTTTTTGTCATTTAGGGAATTTGATGTTTGAGGTCAGATTGTTGATTGCATTTGTTTAATTTGTTTGGCAATACGTAGATTCGAAGAGATTAAGAGCTTTACATATTGTATAGATACTGTTTATTGTTGTAAAAAAAAAGTATTCTCCACATCAGTTATATATGTTTAAATCATTTCAAACACGAACTGTGTTTGTATAATTGAGTTTGAAAATACAAACTGAAGATAGATCCAATTGAATATACATTACTTTCAGCATGACGTCGACAAAATTTATCAACCAAAGGCTAGAAACAGACTTGGCGCTAACGTTTTCGATAAATTACCATCCAATGTAAAGACAGCTGTAGTTAATGCCCAATACAGAGGTGACCTTGGACCAAAGACTGTTGGCTACATCCAGAAAGGCGAATGGAATAAGGTTAGCACCGAATACCTTGATCATAAAGGTTACAAAAATGCCTCCAAGAACAATATGAATGGAATAGTGCAAAGAATGAATTGGAATGCCAAGCAATTTGACTCAATGACTAAAAACGGTTAATGAACTATAGTAAGTTGACGAATCATTTCCGTCAATCGAGATATGTGACAATAAAAAGTCTAGAAAATATAAATGGGTTTTTGTTCCATGTTTCACACACGCACTCTCTCTTCAAAAGTAAAGATTAAAATTTAAAATGACCATAAATAGATATGCGTACTAAAACATTATACAATTGAGTACAATTAATTTTCAGGTTGTATCATTTCATTTAAAAAAAAACAAGACCGACACTACCAAAGGACATTCGTTGCTGTGCCGAAATGTTTTGTCTTTTAATATGAATAAGATATTATTTCATATTTGTCTTGCATGTTTTATTTCTAATCCGAAGACTCGGAAATTTCGGTAATGCTAATCTGACACTTACTATGGAACAAATCTGAGAACCATGGTATCCATCGGGTAATCGCAGCAATAATTTAAATATGAGAATCATATGTCATTAATCATGTTATTACGAAGTTTTGACATTAAAATGAAGACATGTATAGAAAATATTTGCAACACTGTCATTCAATTTTCAGTGAAATCTCTTTGTTTCAATGTCACAAACATACCTTGTAGAGTGTACTATATGCTTTCACCTTGGTGTCTTCACTGGTGAAGTATCATGTTAGTTTCACATCTATATGAACTTCACATTAAATTATAGTACTTTTGATAGAACATCTGCATATGTTTTCGACCATGACATTTAGGTCATTGATTCCTTTGGACGTAGCTAGTAAATATGTTATATATTCGATGACGAAGTACACTTTTGATATTGCATGAACATAACATACTATTACCTTTGCCGTCGCTTAAAGTTTAACTCTTTGACCATGAAATTATAATGTCGAACTTTCATATAGACCTTATCACTTGAAATATTCATTGACATAGAAGTTATTCACATCAAATTACCTTCAACTTAACTTAATGGTCAAAGGTCAAAGTCGAGCTCATTATCATGCTTCTGCATACACAGTGTTGTCAATCTAAGTGCCACGGAACAAAACGTTATGCATTGAACACAAATCAGACCGTGTTTTACTATCATAGGAGTCAGATCAGAGTGATCTGACTTAATAGTGATAAAAATGGAGTTGCACAACTAAGAAGAAATGGGAAATTAGAAACTGGTCCAATAAACAAAGCAAATATACTAAATGATCAATTCCAATCAGTCTTCTCCGCTGCATGTCCCATCAGTTAAAGAGATTTTGAAAAAAAAAACACATGACAGATCTAACAGAAAACTATCCAAAACAGCGAACAAATAGTCATTACTAATAATGGAGTGGAAAAACAAACTGAAAAATCTAAAACCACACAAGGCTGCTGGGCCAAACATCAAACCAATGATACTGTAAGAACTAGCCAGTGAAATTGCTCCGATCTTAACCATAATTTACAATTTTTCAATGGAGAAAGGAAAGAGACTCGATGACTGGCAAACTGCAAATGTCATTCCGGCATATAAGAAAGGCCAGAAATACATACCAGCTAACTATAGGCCAATATCCCTCATATGTATCTGTTGAAAAATAATAGAACATATAGTCACCAGTAATCTCATGAAACATGCAGTGGTAAATAACATCCTATACCCTCTACAACATGTCTTCAGAAGTAAAAGATCATGCGAAACACAACTCTTTGAATATATCGACGATATCACAAAAAATTTGGAAAACGGAAAACAATCAGATCTGCTAATACTGGACTCTCAAAAAGTTTTTGAAAAGGTGTCCCATAGTTTACTTCTCCATAAACTACACCATTATGGCATTCGAAGTAAAACAAACAAATGGATAAAGGAATTTCTCACCAACAGAACCCTAGTAGTAGTTGTTGAAGCCAAAACATCAGACAAAGTGAAAGTAGAATCCGGAGTACCATGCACAAGGATCAGTCTTAAGACCAGTCTCCTTCTTTTTTACATTAACGACCAACCAGAAGGCCTTCACTCAACAGTGAGACTGTTTGCAGACGATACTATTGTCTATTTGACCATTTCCCCAGACAACGACTGCCATAAACTCCAAGAAGACCTGGACCAAATTGGCAAAATGGGAAAAACTTTAGAAAGTGGAGTTCCACCCTAAAAAATGCAGCGTTCTCACAGTCACAAACAAAAAATCAAATCAAGTGGGGCTACAAACTCCACGGCCATACTCTGAAACATCGACTAAATACCTAGGCTGCACCATGTCAAATGATCTAGATTGTGGAGAACACAACACATAAACAACATCACAGAAAAGGCCAGCCGAAGCCTTGGTTTCTTTCATCGAAACATCCACATCAGCTCAATACCATCAAAGAGCATGCCTATAAAATATTAGTAAGACCGCAAATGGAATACGCCACGACTGTATTGGACCCGTACCAGCAAAAGTACATAGATAAAATTGAAATAGTACAAAGACGAGCTTCAAGATGTGTTACCAACAGACATAGAAATAGATAAGTGTCAGCAACATAACTGAATCAGGATGGAAAAGCCTACAAACAAGACGAAAAGAAGCTAGTCTCATCATGTGTTACAAAATAACAAATGTCCTTGTAGCCATAAACACGAGTAAATACCTACATAAACTGTTAACACAGAGATATGTCTCGCCTATTTGTTATTTTGATAATGCAAATGTTGAAATTAAAATAGCAATACTTTAACATGTAAGTTATGCAAATATTCAAAGTCAATGAACCATGACTGAAGGTACAGGGCTAAACAATCTCCATGGAAATGAGATGTGCCATTGCTAATACAACTGCAAACCAAATACCATTGACTTTTCATAAGTCGTTCCCTTTAAACAAACCTAAACACAAACATTATTTTGTAAACTATGTAAAAGTTTCATAGTCATTGAACCATAATAAGGGGGTGGGGTTATATAATCTCCATGGAAATGAAACTTGCAAATGCCAATACATTTGTATACCGAATATCATTGACTTAACATTAGTGGTTCATCTTAAACTGAACTAATCGCAAACTAATACATGTAAACTAAGCAAAAGTTTCAAAGTCAATAGACCATGACTAGGGGGTAGGGACCAAATATTCTCCATGGAAATGAGATGTGCTAATGCTTATACAACTGCATACCAATTATCATTGACCTACCATTAAAGGTTCCCTTTAAACTGACCTAATCACAAACTAATACATGAAAACTAAGCAAAAGTTTCAAAGTCAACAGACCATGAATGAGGGGGCGAGGCCAAATAATCTCCATGGAAATGAGATATGCCAATGCTTATACAACTGCATCCAAAATATCATTGACCTACCATTAGTGGTTCCCCATAAACTGACCTAATCACAAACTAATACATGTAAACTAAGCAAAGTTTCAAAGTCAATAGACCTTGACTGAGGGGACGGGGCCAAATAATCTACATGGTAATGAGATGTGCCAATGCTAATACAGCTGCATACCAAATATCATTGACCTACCACTAGTGGTTCACCATGAACTAGACCTAATCACAAACTAATACATTGTTGACGCTGTCCCGCAGACGCCGGAAACATCATACATATGTCTCGCTTTTTGACTTCGTCAAGGCGAGACAAATCAAAGAGCTGAAAGCTCTGAGGAAAAATGACGCCACTGTCTCTAATATTGTGATATTTTTTTATGCAAGTCTTGATTTTCACATACCTTAATTAGTTTAACATTCCAACATGTCTCGTAAGCATATAATTGATATTCGTATATGTGTGTGTGTTATGTGAAGATGACAACTGGCTGTTTTTTTAGTACAAATGTATAGGTCAAGACTACCTGAATGATCTACAGTATCCAATGACTACTGGCTGTTTTTTTCTATAAATAAATAGGTCAAGACTACCCGAATGATCTACAATATCCAATGACTACTGGCTGTTCTTTTGTACTAATAAATAGGTCAAGACTATTTGAATGATCTACAATATCCAATGACTACTGGCTGTTCTTTTGTACATATAAATAAAGACTACCTGAATGATCTAAAGTATTCTAAGTAATGTGATTTTTGTCTTGCAATTACATTTTTCTAAATCAAGAATATAGACTACTAGTATCCTTTTCAAACCAAATGATTATGAAGAGCCTGTTGTTATCAAGCTCTTATACCCCACATACTCATTAAATAAATTACTAGTGACCTAGTTATTTCTGTTACTTGAAGCAAATTATTTCTGTAGATTTAGACAATAGTATAATATTGTTTTACTAGTTTTATTTCACCTTGAAGATTAGACAAATAGGGATACTCCTTTGATTTTTTATTTCATGTCAGTCAGGTCGCTTTATATGAAACTTGAAACCACTTCTCTGCCATATTGTTATTTCATAACAACTCTGCCCTTGACCATGTTGACCCATGTAATTGATATTCATTCTTTAACATTATATCATAGTCAGTTAGTTTTTGATTTTGCACTCCCACACCACCTTTCAGGTCAAATGTCTGTCTCCATTTAAGTTAATGACATTGAACAATCATGGTATTAAACACAATTTCAATAGTGATAATGCTGTTCTAGTAGGTCACCATACATTCAACTTGGGTAGCATTCCAGTTATTGAAATTTGTGTCAGATTAGAACAATGATCTAGACCTTTAGGAATGGATCTTACAATTTAATATGGAGCCATAGTATGGGACCCCTACACGGTAACAAAAAAAAAACAAGCTTGAAAGGATACAACGTCAAGCGGCAAAATCTATCACCAGAAATTACAAGTCAAGAGAGGATGGACGGGATACGTCTCTAAAATGCTTGCCTAACTGGAACTACAACAAGATCTCCAGACAAGACGAACAAGGATATGAAGCCAGAAGTTAATATTTATGTAAAAAGTAGTTGAGGGGCTGATTCCCGCTATTGAACCATACTGTCATTCTATAATATTATTGCGTAAGTATTTCTGTATTGTCCTTGTTATTGGTCCATGTCTTGGTGTATTGGTCTGAGGCGAAGCCGAAGGCCAATACTGCTGGCCGAGGACCAACAATAAGGCCAATACAGAAATACATGTAATAGTATCTTTATTAATTAACTACAGTGTTACAATATTTTTTTAT